TAAATGGATGTGCAACAGGTTAGCCTTTCATTCATTAATATTTTGATACAATAAAAAGAGTTACCTCATTCTTAATTTCCAGCTGAATTCTTTCCATAGTGGGCTTTTACTTTATTCAATTAATTTTTAATAGACGACCACCCACCTAGAGCCGGAGGATCTGTCCTAGGTTTCTGCCTTTTAACAGGCAGTTTTTCCTTTCCCTTGTCGCCAAGTGCTTGCTCATGGTGGTACTGTTGGGTCTCTGTAATTAATGTTTTAAAGAGTTCGGTCTACACCTGCTCTATTTGAAAAGTGTCCTGAGATAACTTCTGTTATGAATTGGCGCTATACAAATAAAATTGAATTGAATTGAATTGAATTGATGATGATGAACATGAAGATGACGACGATAACAACAACAATGATGGGGGACAATGAGCAGTGACAATAGTAATAATAGTAACTGTAGTAATAATAATAACAATAATATCAGTGATATTAGCAATGGCAGTCAAGCAGGACCATGGCAGGAGGCTCCACCAGGATCCATGAGAACCTGCGAGACGAGAAAGCACAAGAACTCCAGGGAAGAAAGGAAGTTAGTAACATGCATTAGTGGGACATGAATGAGTGCAGAAAAAGAGGAAGAGAGGAGCTCAGTGCACCATGGGAAATCCCCCGATAGTCTAGGCCTATAGCAGCATAATTAAGGGATGGTTAGAGAACGCAGTGGTCTAGAGGGGTAACAGGGTACTATGAGCTCTTTAAGATATGAAGCAATCAGAAGGTCATTATTAACTTTAACCAGAGCTGTCTCTGTGCTATGATGAACTCTAAATCCTGACTGAAAATCCTCAAATAAACTATTGTTATGTAGAAAGTCACACAACTCTTTGGCGACAACTTTCTCCAGAATCTTAGAGAGGAACGGGAGGTTAGAAATCGGTCTATAGTTGGCTAAAACCCCTGGGTCAAGAGTGGACTTTTTAAGAAGGAGTTTAATTACAGCTACTTTAAAGGACTGTGGTACATATCCTGATAATAAAGAAAGATTAATCATATCCAGTAAAGAAGTACCAATTAAGGGTACGACATAGAATGGTTAATGACATGCAGCAAGGGTTTAGCCCTGGTACATGGGGCACCAGCTCTACCGGGTGAGGTGGCACCCCAATAATATGCTTCCTCTTAATGAGGTGATTGATACCATTTGTAAATATTTAAGTTCAATGTGTTCACAATCTTCATGTGAATAAATAAATCTTGCCATGTATATATTCAACTCAAAATGTTTTTCATCTTTCTAAACATGCTTGCCAAAAAATGCTGAGCATTAAGAACCAATACGTGATTGAACATATATTCAATATATTATTGAATATATGAATATATATATATTGAATATATAATATATATTATATAATATATATTATATATAATATATATATCTCAACTGAACAATGACATGAATAATTGAATGAATTTATTTATTTATTTAATTTAATTTAAAATTCCCAAAAGCATTGCAACCCTGGTCTAAGTTGGGCAGAGAGCCGTAACTCTCACACAAAGTGTGATTGCAACGGTCCACCAGGTTGCCCGAGGTTGGAAATCTCATCTCCTTATGTGCAATACTCTCACCAGAGCATGTGGATATCATGTGTAATAATATCAACTTGTATCAAAATCATAGCCCATCTTCATTGTCTGTATATTAATTTCTTATCCGACAAATATCTCATATAGCGTAATTGTCCATGCAGTCGGCCCATCGCTGAGGTATACATGTACTCACTTCCCTTCAATTCCCTGATGATCACTTTAACATCCGCTAGGTTCAGCTGCTGGCTGTGATTCTTCCTCCGACTCTCCTGGGTTGAACACTTGTCTTGTATCAACTCTCTTTCCAGTATGTCCGAATCTTCTATTTCTGCAACAATTCGAGGCTCTTTCAGTGTTGGCTGAGCCTCCAACAGCGAGGGGAACCCTTGCACTCCCATCTCCAGGAAAAGAAAGTTGCTTTGAGGTCCTTCTCCTTCAGCCTTTGCAAGTCAGGCGAGTAGTCCTGGTCTCATTGTTTCCATGCCTGTTGCAGTACTTTTTGTTTCACACTGAAATCCAGAAATCGTACATTTATGGATCTCGGTGGTGCTGTCGCCTCCTTTGGTATCAGCGCAAGCTCCCTGAGCTCTGTTTCTCCCTGCAGATCAAGTGTTGTATGCTAAAAGTTGGTAATGAACGATAGCATGTCGTTCTTCTCTGCGTCTTCTCGTATCCCATACAAACGGATATTGTTGTGCCTCATTATGGCAGAAGCTTTGCTCGGTAATCTTCATTTTCAAGTTCATTTGTCGACGATATATATATTTTAGCTGTGGGTCCGGCAGAGCTGAGTATTTAAGCGTCTGCCTTGACCATTGCTTAACAGGTAGTCCAGAAACACTTTAAATGGCCTCCTGATAGGGCCCCATGTACCAAGGCTGAGTCCTTGCTGTGGGTTTGACTCCGACTTGTGGCCCATTGCCTGAAACCTTAAAGAACAGTAAGGTGGTGCACCTTCAGCAGAGAGCCCAACAGGAGTTTCAGAGTAACAGTGTCACAGCTGGACACAGCGTTCTCGCCCAAAAGAGGTAAACAGGTCCTGTCATACACAGTAAACATTGTCATAGTTGAACCTACTGTTATGTATTTATTCTACATTTGATTTCTCTTTCTGTAACCCACCTAGAAGGTAAGTGCACACTGAACCAGTTTAATCTAGATTCGTAGAGAGGGGTAATGAATTGAATTGGACACCACCATGAGTAACCAGGACACAAAGTTAGGTTGTAGCAAAATTATTGTATTAACATAGATTTATAACATTTCACAACATCAGACCGGTCTTTTACTCAATTAAATGTCTTTTGAATCTGGTGCACCAAAAATAAAATAAAATATTTCCCCCCAAAAATAAAAAAAAGTTTAGTTTAGTTCAGTTAAATCGTCTCCTGAAATCCTTTTCCACAGTCCTACCACGCTGATAGCAGGGCAGATGAATAACTCATACGAATGCTCAATCCAGGTGCTCAACGCGGGTGGCTCGCCATCCCCCTCGTCAGGGAGAGAATCAATCCAGTCCAGGATCCAGAATCCAGGGGTATCCGAAAACCTAGCCTGTGTAGCATAACAAAGCTTACAAACATATGCAATCTATTTAACTTTTCTGACTGTACAGCTTTAACTTTATCAAAATCAATTTAAATACAACCCTTAATACTTAATCCATGAATTTAGGATAATTGTTGTACTGCAATGTTAACATATGAAATGTCAACTTTTACATTTTTACAACCAAATTATTTAATGGCCATAAGCAAATGTTAAATAACTGAAATTGTAGATAGATTATGAAAACCACTTACAGTTTTACATGAAATGCTCACTGCATTTGGATAATGCATGTAGGAATATAGATTCCTGATCATAATACTGACACCTTGTGGTCGTGCACACCAACAAGAGAGTAATTCACAGTTTCATAGTCTATAAAGTTAGCTGGGTAATTGCTTACTTTAACCACAAACGTAAGTAACATATATTCTTACACAAATGTTCTTATTTGGCTCTACCATGAAAGAAAATACTAAACAAAACTTTACACTACTGCTCAGTGGCTAAACACTTGGCTAATGTGGCCTTGTGCAGCACGTGTATTATATTCAAAACTCACAGAGAAAATAAAAGAATAAACAATGAACAGATGTCATCAAGGTTTCCCCAACTCTTGCCTGTTGAACAGTTTTTTCCTTCTTTGTACGTGAGGTTTAATTAACAATGTTTCACTCGCGATTTCAGCTCGTTTTCTCATTCATTCGCCCTGTTCCGTTGTCTCCCTTTGCACACAATAGACTGCGTCTCTCTCACCTGAGTGAAAAGGCGGGACTTGGTTCGTTTTACACAAATAGAAGTTAATCATTCGTCCTGAACTAATGAACGTATTTGTTATGAAGATTTTTGCTTACTGACTGAAAATTAGACCTGAAGAGATATGAATTAAGATAAAATAATGACTTAAATATGCAATAACGAATTCGGAAATAAAAGACAAGAAAATACATAAATTGTCAGTGAAAGGAAATAATTTGTGTTTTAGTAACACCTAATTTCCCAATGGGTTACGTTTCTTTTACTGCAGTTTATGCTTGTGTGTTTTGAGTATATAGATTTTGTTGTGTTGTTTTGTTTGAGTAATAATGTTTGTTTAAATCACGGAGGACTCTTATCTCTCCTGCACTGTAATTACTGTCTGTTGGACACGTCAATCAGCCTGCATAACACTTCTGGTTGCTGTGATGATTCACTTTAGCTCTTCTTCCAGAGCTGGAGGCCGACTAGGCGCAGCACCCATCACCAGAAGAACCCAGACCAGGACTCAATTCAGTTTTATTTGTATAGGGCCAAATCATAACAGAAGTGATCTCAGGACACGTTTCAAATAGAGCCGCACTGCTTATAAAATCTCTACAGTCCTCACCAAGAGACAATGTGACTGCCTTACCTACAGGGCGTAGACGACCTCCTGAGACACTTTTACACCCCCTTGTGTTACATATATGTTACTGTAGTTAGAGTTTGGGACTAAATAAAACCCATGTGCAGTTCTTCCTCGTCTCAGTGTAGTTTCCTTTTTAAAGGTTTTTTCTTCTTCTTGTTTCAGATCTGGACGATGACGTCGACCCAGAAACTGGAGAGAGAGCGCAGGGATGACCCCGCCCACCATCTGTCAATCCCAGCAGCTAATTTAAAAGCTTTATATAAGCTTTTTTTATCCATAGATCTTCAGATCATCAGTCAGCTGATGATCAGTTGTCATATTATTGATTACTGAGTTAACTATTGATCAGGTTGAAGGCTGAAAGTTCTCCAGGTTTTATGTTCTTTGTTTTATATGAACTGACTTTTATCATTTGTTTTATGTGTCTTATGTTAAAGTCTGTTTTTGTCTTCAGGGACAATAAAGTTATAAAGTTCAAGCATTCTCATGTGTGGAAAAAAATGTTTTATTGTAAAAAAAATTACATTTTTACAAAAACATTAAATAATCAGAATTTTTCATATTTACAATTTTAGCATGTACAGTAAACACACACCCATTCACAATAAAAGTTCTGGTAATATCAGACACATTTTCTTCTGCTGCGACCAGCGGCTCTCCAGATGGTTAATCTGCAGCGCTCCTGATTGGTTAATATCAGTCTTCTTCCTCATTAGCTGCTGTCGGCTCAGTGGGCGGAGCCTCGTCCTCAGAACTGGTCTGACGAGCCGCCGTCCGAAACAAGCGCATCAAATCCCGAAACCGGTTAGACACCTGGAGATACGAGGAAGAGTTACTGACTGTTTACTTCCTGTTTATAAACCTGTGAGACACCTGGAGATACGAGGAAGAGTTACTGACTGTTTACTTCCTGTTTATAAACCTGTGAGACACCTGGAGATACGAGGAAGAGTTACTGACTGTTTACTTCCTGTTTATAAACCTGTGAGACACCTGGAGATACGAGGAAGAGTTACTGACTGTTTACTGTCAGTCAGATGAATCAGAAACAGCCAATCACCTCACTGGGAGTCTTGTTGCCGAGCAGAGTAGAGATGGACTGGAATGTGTTCTGATTGGCTCCTTCCTGCTGACACGTTGTCAAAATGACTCGATCTGCTTCTCTGAAAAAAACAACATAGTCAGTTCTCCTTCCTGAGGAGGAGAGAGGAGGAGCAGGGAGGAAGAGGGGGGAGGAGGGAGGAGGAGGAGCAGAGAGGAGGTGTACCTGGTCCAGAGGATGACTTTCTCTCCACTCGCTGTCAGAGAAATATTCTTGGCACAGACAGGGAGGTCAGGAGGAGGACTGGGCCGAAGAGGAGCAGAGGAGGAGGAGAGGGTAGAAGAGGCAGAGGAGGAGGTGCAGACAGACGGACAGATTGAGGAAGAAGATGAGGAGGTGATAGATGTGATGGAGGCAGTACAGACAGAGGGAGAGGAGGAGACAGAGGAGGTTACTGGGGTTGAAGTAAAGATGGAGGAAGTCATTGAGGAGGTGGAGACAGAGGTATAGGAGAGTGTGAAAGAGGTGTGAGGGTTTGAGGAGGTAATAGCGGGAGAGGAGGTGGTGCAAGAGGTGGTGGGGGGTTGCAGTGCCTCCTCTCTCCTGCTCCTTTTCACAGATGGGCTCTGCTCCTTCTCACTGGTCTTCCTCTCCTCTTCATCTTCATCCTCCTCCTCCTCCTCATCTAGCTCCTCCTCCTCTTTGTCGTCAGTCAGAGGGAACGAGCCTTCCCATGATGCACCGCTCCGATGGTCTGTTCACAGAAACATTAAAGTTACAACTTTAATAAACACACCTGTCTTTAATTATGATCCTGGACAGGTGACCTGGTACACACCTGGTAGTGGACTGTCGTAGTCCCCCTTCAGGTCCAGGTCTTTGTCACCTGGTTCATCGTGGGCGGAGCTTATCTGAGAGTACAGAGGGTCCAGACTCTTCATGGCTCTGGACACACCCCCTGAGGTCTGAGGGGAAATGAACAGGTGAGTCAGGTGTTTATAAACCTCTCTAGCTGTCACTCATTCACACCTGATCAAACATGGAGGACAGACCTTGTTGCCATGGCAGCGAGAGCATCCTTTCCTCCTGTGTCTGCGGATCTTTGCGTCAATGCAGAGGCAGGGCCAGTCTTTATCTGACCAATCACAGTCCTGGAAAGATATCAAACAGCATCAGCGCAAAAGAAAGATACTAATGCCACGTTCCTTTTGTCTCGTAATCGCGACTTGCAGCTCGAGAGTGACGTTACATCTGTGTTGGAAAACGAGTAACCGCGGGTTTTTGCATTCTGTTTGGCACACAACACGACGAGCTTGGTTCAACAGGCAGTTTGGAGGTTTGGTAACGTTGATAGTGATTATCTGGTTTACGGTGGATTTCACACGTTCATTATTACACAATCATATCTCACAGTTTGATATCTGAATACTCTGTTCTGATTAACGTTACCGCTACCGTGGTTACTGCTCTGCTTTCTGCTCAAGACTCGGCACTGTTGTCATAGCAACATGGAGCGTTTCTAGCCACTTTCAGCTGCACAAGCTACAAAGTAACTAATGAGGCTCATTAACTCATAATGAGACTAGCAACATGCCTATAGGTAACAGTGTACAGTGCTGTGGGTACGACTTCTTCTGTGGTTACAATAAACACTAACACAATGTTTACTGTGTGACGCTCGGAGTGGCCATCTTGGTAACTGAACTCGGGTCCTCTGAGTGCGGACGACTTAACGAGTTGTATAACTCGTATATTATAACGTTACGACCTCGGGGGCGTTCTGTTTGCAACTTCCTGTTCGTAACTCAGGAAACCGACTCGGACATCGAGTTCGGTGGACAATACGAATGCGGCATAACCCCTAACCACAAACTCCTAACCACTAACCGCTAACCACTAACCGCTAACCACTAACTGCTAACCACTAACTGCTAACCACTAACTGTTAACCACGAACTGATATACATGGCTCCACACACCATTCTTCAGCCACCCATCCCTGGTCTGACATCACACTGCAGGACATGTTTTCATTCATGGCCCTGATTATTTACATGGGTGTGGTGAAGTGCTGTTGCTTCACCGATTACTGGCGAGGGGGGAACCTGTACAGCTTGCCGTTCGCAAAACGGGTTATGACTGGAAGGAAGTCCCTCATGATGAACCAGGCCCTTCACCTGAGCAGCCCAGCAGTGGATAATTATGAGCAGAAGAAAGGCACAGCAGCCTATGACCGCCTCTGCAAAACCAAGCCACTCTACAATCAGATAAGGGAAGCCTGCAAGAGGAACAACCACCCTGACCAGGAAATTTCCATCGACGAGAGGATGGTTGCCTCCAAAGCCCGTACTGGCTTGAAGCAGACACCCTCTCCACATTCAAGAGTAGGCTTAAGACATTCCTCTTTGATAAAGCTTATAGTTAGGGCTGGATCAGGTGAGTCCTGAACCATCCCTTAGTTATGCTGCTATAGGCCTAGACCAGGGGTTCTCAACCTTTTGCAAGCTGGGCCCACCCAAAGCTGGTTCATTGCAGTCGGGCCCCCCCCTTCCCGGCGCCACCCCCACTACACCACCTTGCATAGATAGATAGATAGATAGATAGATAGATAGCCCTAGGCTAGGCTATTATTTTTAGGGCCACATTATTATTATCATCATCAGTAGCAGTAGGTATAGGCCTATTATCATTACTAGGCTATTGTTATAATTGGCAGTAGCACCAGACTTCTAATGTGAGCTTGCAGGCATTATTATTATTATTATTATTATTATGAGTAGTATTCAATTCAATTCAATTCAATTTTATTTGTATAGCGCCAATTCATAACAGAAGTTATCTCAGGACACTTTTCAAATAGAGCAGGTCTAGACCGAACTCTTTAACATTAATTACAGAGACCCAACAGTACCACCATGAGCAAGCACTTGGCGACAAGGGCAAGGAAAAACTGCCTGTTAAAAGGCAGAAACCTAGGACAGATCCTCCGGCCCTAGGTGGGTGGTCGTCTGTCTCGACCAGTTGGGGTGAGAGAGAGAGAGAGAGAGAGAGAGAGAGAGAGAGAGAGAGCGACAGACAGACAGACAGACAGGTGCACAGCAACAACAGTATTGGCAATGGCAGTCAAGCAGGACCATGGCAGGAGGCTCCACCAGGATCCATGAGAACCTGCGAGACGAGAAAGCACAAGAACTCCGGGGAAGAAGTGGAGTTAGTAACATGCATTAAAGGGACATGAATGAGTGCAGAAAGAGAGAGGAAGAGAGTAGCTCAGTGCACCATGGGAAATCCCCCGATAGTCTAGGCCTATAGCAGCATAACTAAGGGATGGTTCAGGACTCACCTGATCCAGCCCTAACTATAAGCTTTATCAAAGAGGAATGTCTTAAGCCTACTCTTGAATGTGGTGAGGGTGTCTGCCTCCCGAACCACAACTGGAAGCTGGTTCCACAGGAGAGGAGCTTGGTAACTGAAGGCTCTGGCTCCTGTTCTACTTTTAGAGACTATAGGAACCACAAGTAGCCCAGCATTCAGAGAACGTAGTGTTCTAGTGGGGTAATAGGGTACTATGAGCTCTTTAAGATATGAAGGGGCCTGACCATGAAGAGCTTTATAGGTGAGGAGGAGGATTTTAAATTCTATTCTATATTTTATAGGGAGCCAATGCAGAGTAGCTAGTACAGGAGAGATGTGATCTCTTTTTCTAGTTCCTGTCAGTACTCGTGCTGCAGCGTTCTGAATTAATTGGAGCGTTTTAATGGACTTATTGGGGCAACCTGATAATAAAGAGTTGCAGTAATCCAGCCTTGAAGTAACAAATGCATGGATTAGTTTTTCTGCATCTGTCTGTGATAGGATGTGTCTAATTTTTCTAATATTACGTAAATGAAAGAAGGCAGTCCTAGAGGTCTGCTTTATGTGGGAGTTAAATGACAAATCCTGATCAAAGATAACTCCAAGATTCCTGACAGTGGTGCTAGAGGCCAAGTTAATGCCATCTAGAGTGACTATATCTTTAGACAATGAGTCTCTAAGGTTTTTGGGGCCAAGAACAAGAATTTCGGTTTTTTCTGAGTTTAACATCAGAAAATTGCAGGTCATCCAGGATTTTATGTCCTTAAGACATGTTTGTAATTTAGATAATTGATTAATTTCATTGGGTTTGATTGATAGATATAACTGCGTATCATCTGCATAACAGTGAAAGTTAATGGAGTGATTCCTAATAATGTTGCCTAAAGGGAGCATATATAAAGTAAATAGTATTGGTCCAAGTACAGAACCTTGTGGAACTCCATGACTAACTTTAGTATTTATTGAGGATTCATTGTTAACATGTACAAACTGAGAACGATCTGATAAATATGACTTAAACCAGCTTAGGGCAGTTCCTTTAATGCCAATTTGATGCTCAAGTCTCTGTAAAAGAATATCATGGTCAATGGTGTCAAATGCAGCACTAAGATCTAATAATACAAGTACAGAGACAAGTCCATTGTCAGAAGCAGTCAGAAGGTCATTATTAACTTTAACCAGAGCTGTCTCTGTGCTATGATGAACTCTAAATCCTGACTGAAAATCCTCAAATAAACTATTGTTATGTAGAAAGTCACACAGCTCTTTGGCGACTACTTTCTCCAGAATCTTAGAGAGGAACGGGAGGTTAGAAATCGGTCTATAGTTGGCTAAAACCCCTGGGTCAAGAGTAGACTTTTTAAGAAGGGGTTTAATTACAGCTACTTTAAAGGACTGTGGTACATATCCTGATAATAAAGAAAGATTAATTATATCCAGTAAAGAAGTGCCAATTAAGGGAACAACTTCTTTAAGCAGCCTAGTTGGGATCGGGTCTAACAGACAGGTTGATGGGTTCGATGAAGAAATGATTGAAGTTAACTGATGAAGATCGATAGCAGAAAAACAGTCTAAATATACATCTAAGTTTACATTGACAGAAGTCCCTGAACTTGGAGAGCCACTGATAACCGTTGATGGCAGTTGGTGATTAATTTTTTCTCTAATAGTAATAATTTTATTATAGAAGAAGCTCATGAAGTCATTGCTACTTAAGTTTATGGGGATATGTGGCTCAATAGAGCTGTGACTCTCTGTCAGCCTGGCTACAGTGCTGAAGAGGAACCTAGGGTTGTTCTTATTTTCTTCTATTAGTGCTGAGTAATAGGCTCCTCTGGCATTACGGAGGGCCTTTCTATAAATCTTAAGATCATCTTGCCAATTTGAGCGATATTCTGATAATTTGGAAGAGCGCCATTTCCTTTCAGATTTCCTAGCTATTTGCTTTAACTGGCGGGTTTGGTGGTTATACCAAGGTGCTAGTCTCCTATGTTTTAATAATTTCCTTTTTATAGGAGCGATAGAGTCTAATGTTGATCGTAGTGAGCCTGTAGCACTATCGACAAGATTATCAATTTCAGAGGGACTAAAGTTGTTATAGGACTCTGTTAAATTCAGACATGGCATTGAATTAAACACTGAAGTAATCTCCTCCTTAAATTTAGCTACAGCACTGTCAGATAGACATCTGCTGTAGGAAGTTTTGCCTAATGGCTTATAATCTAATAGTATGAATTCAAAAGTTACTAAATAATGGTCAGATAGGAAAGGATTATGTGGGAAGACTATTAAATGTTCAATATCAATGCCATATGATAAAACAAGGTCAAGAGTGTGATTAAAACAATGAGTTGGTTTATTTACACTCTGACAGAAGCCAATTGAGTCTATTAATGATATAAATGCATTACTAAGGCTGTCATTGTCAACATCCACATGAATATTAAAATCACCTACAATAATTACTTTATCTGATTTAAGGACTAAGCTTGATAGAAACTCTGAAAATTCAGATATAAAGTCAGAGTACGGTCCAGGAGCGCGGTACACTATAACAAATAGAACTGGCTGCAGTGTTTTCCAGTTTGGGTGAGAAAGGCTAAGAACAAGGCTTTCAAATGAATTATAATTTAGTTTAGGTTTAGGGTCCATTAAAACGCTCGAATCATATATAGCTGCTACTCCACCTCCTCGGCCTGTGCCTCGAGGAATGTGAGTATTAATATGACTGGGGGGGGTGGATTCATTTAGGCTAACATACTCCTCGTGGGACAACCAGGTCTCAGTAAGACAAAGTTAGTAGTAGGCCTATTATCATGACTAGCCTATTGCTATATACTTTTATGAATTTACATGCTTTATTGTTATTATTAGTATTATTATTATCATAAGTAGGCCTATTATCATTACTAGGCTATTGCTGAAATAATTATATGAGGTTACATGCTTTATTGTTGTTTATTATTATTATTATTATTATTATTATCATCAGTAGGCCTATTATCATTACTAGGTTATTGCTATAATTGGGAATTGGCACCAGACCTCTGATATGAATTTATTCTTTATTAGTGTGTGTTTAGTAGTGTTATTACTAGGTCTAATAGTAGGCATATCATCTGCATTTTTGACAGAAGCTTGCAGGTAGGTGATGTTAATGTGAGACCTGAGCCTGCTTTGCCTTGCAAAGATCCTCAATTCTTGGAGCAATGTCTGATAAACATAGCCTCAAATCATCCTCGATTTGTGCACGATTGCGGTACTTTGTTTTGAGTGCAGTCATTTTTGAGAATCCTGCCTCACACAAATATGTCGACGCGAAAGGGAGGAGAATCTTCAAGGCGACGTCACAGAGTTGAGGGTATTCCTGCATCAGTGCTGCCCAGAATGACGAAAGAGGGCAGGAGGTAAAGACTTCCTTCAGCCTACTGTCACTCTTCAGCTCAATGAGCTGTTCCTGCATATTGATTGACAGCTCGTTTGCTGTGCACACAAATGGGTCACGAACCCACGCAAAAGAGCGATAATCCTCCTTAAAGTACATCGCAAATTGTTTTCTCATTTCTGACAGGTGCTCAGACACTGATTGCAATAGAGAGGAGAAATCATGTGACGTGCCTTCATCCGTGATAAAGTCTGCAAGGCTGGGGAACATGTCGCAGTTCCCTTGACTGATGCGGCCATGCCAGAGGTCAAGTTTTTGTGTGAAGGCGTCCACTCTGTCTGCAAGGAGCAAAATATGAGTTTCGCGGCCTTGCAAAGACAGGTTGAGGCCATTCAAGCGGTCAAATATATCGACCAAATAGGACAGAGACGCAAGCCACATAGTGTCATCCAGATGCTTCGCCAGATCTGATTTGATTTCTGTCAAAAACCACTTCACCTCCTCTCGCAGCTCATATAACTGCTGTAACACCCGCCCCCTAGAGAGCCAGAGAAGCAGCTTTCGTGCCCTGACCCCATCTCCTGGCAGAAGACCCCAAACAAGCGAGAGTTTAGCGGCCGTGATTTGATGAGATTTATCATTTTCACGGATTGATTCAGCACGGAGTCAAAGAGAACCGGCATTTTTTTAGCAGCTAGTGCTTCGCGATGGACCATGCAATGTGTCCATTTCACAAGTGGAGCTACTTGCTGAACGCGGGCAGCTAGGCCGCGCTCGCGGCCCGTCATTGCCAGCGCACCATCCGTGCATAGGCCAACGCATCGGTCCCAAGCCAAACCATTTTCACGGATAAAAACATCAAGGACATTGAATATGGCTTCTCCTGTAGTGTGCGACTGAAGTGGCCGGCAAAACAGGACATCCTCCTCGATCGCCTTGTCCCGCAGATACCTGACATAGGTGAGGAGCTGTGCCTGCCCAGCAATATCAGTGGACTCGTCCAGCTGCAGCGCGTAGTAAGGACTCTTTTTTATGAATGAAATCAGTTGCTCTCTGATATCATTAGACATGTCTGAAATTCTCCTAGCGACTGTGTCATTGGACAGTGGTACTGCACCGAGTTTGGCTGCTGCACTATCTCCTATCATTATTCTGCACATGTCTTGCGCAGCCGGCAAAATGAGAGTCTCGGCAATTGTATGCGGTTTACCCAGTTTGGCTATTCTTTTGGCCACTACATACGATGCCTCCAAACACTGTTTAGACACAGTGCTGTGCACTGACATGGTTGCCTGTTGCTGTTGGAGGCCAATGCCAGCATGCTTTGTTTCGAGGTGCCTTTTTAGTTTACAGGGCTTCATGCTGTCGTTTGCCAGCACCTCGGCACACACGACACACTGAGGTCTCAGATCAGCCGTGACTGTAAACCCAAACTGCAGGTATGCTTCATCGTACCGTCGAAGCTTTTTTGCAGCTGGTGGTGCGTCGGTTGCCTTGTTGGTCCTCACTAGAAATCTCTCCATTTGTGTTGGTTTTGAAATAATTTGGATGTGGATTAGTTGTGATTTCAATAAAGTTTAGGCTATGATGTAACGATGTGTGTGTGTGTGTATGTGTGTGTGTGTGACTATGTTGAGAGACTAGTATCGGGGGCTAATCAGTTGGGACTTAGGCACGATCTTTAATACAAACAAAACAAAATTAATAACAAACAAAATAACGATTTTACAGGCAATGCAGATTTTATTTTAAGACTTGATGATTGTAGTCCTTTGTCAGTGAGTGAGTGAGTGAGTGTGTGTGTTGCAACACGGTGAAAAAGGCAGAGGGGTAGTTAGCTAAGTGCACTGCCTAGCAGTTAAAAAATAAACATAAAAACATAAAAAATAACTGAGATGGGGATAATATTTAAAAAGACTGTTTGTGGGATTAGTCTTTAAAAAGACTGTTGGGTTTTGGAGTATAAGAAAATGATAGAGATTGATAATAGATAGAGTAGATAGAGTAGCGAGAGCAGGCACAAGCGAACTTGGCAAGAGACTAGACGAGAGTGAATGGAGCTACGCGCAGTGTTGTATTTTTTGTGTGAGAGTGAAGAAACATTTACATTTAAACCCTGCTCTTTGAGCCAGGGCGGGAACGGCGGTGGCCATGCGCATGTGCGATTCATTTGCAGCCTGGACGCGGAGTGGTGTGTGTCTCCTCTCTGCTCTGACTGCAGGCTGCTGCACGAGGTTACAGAGACTGACCGTCTGTTGAGCACAGTAACTGCAGAGTGATACGTGCTTTCACGTCAGTCTCCAAACACCACAAAAGTCTCCAATAACATCAGATCTTTTTTTCCTCCCATCCTGTAGCCTACTCGCGCCCCCCCGGGAGAGTGCCGCGCCCCCCCAGGGGGGCGCGCCCCACCGGTTGAGAACCACTGGCCTAGACTATCGGGGGATTTCCCATGGTGCACTGAGCTCCTCCCTTCCTCTCTCTTTCTGCACTCATTCATGTCCCATTAATGCATGTTACTAACTTCACTTCTTCCCCGGAGTTCTTGTGCTTTCTCGTCTCGCAGGTTCTTGTCGATCCTGGTGGAGCCTCCTGCCATGGTCCTGCTAAATTGCCATTGCCAATACTGTTGTTGCTGTGCACCTGTCTGTCTGTCTGTCTCTCTCTCTGTCTGTCTGTCTCTCTCTCTCTCACCCCAACTGGTCGAGACAGACGACCACCCACCTAGAGCCGGAGGATCTGTCCTAGGTTTCTGCCTTTTAACAGGCAGTTTTTCCTTGCCCTTGTCTCCAAGGTCTTGCTCATGGTGGTACTGTTGGGTCTCTGTAATTAATGTTATAAAGAGTTCGGTCTAGACCTGCTCTATTTGAAAAGTGTCCTGAGATAACTTCTGTTATGAATTGGTGCTATACAAATAAAATTGAATTGAATTGAAATTGAATGTGACATTAAAATATTAATATCTCTAATATCTTGATATACGTGTGAATGTTGTGTGTAACTGCTGTGAGAAGAAGTCCATGAGTGAAAGCTAACTAAAGACACCACGTGTTCAAACCTTGTATTTTCTGTGAGCGTCCATCTTCCTCCTCTGGCGCCGGCTCGTCATTGGTTGGATCTTATGTCCCTCCTCTTCTTCTTCGAGCTCTGGGAGCGTCACTTCCTCAAAGCCGCTGGTGGCTCCGCCTGCAGACACCTGGCCGACGCCCTCTCCTCCGTCCGACCCGCCTCCTCCATCCTCGGGCCAATGTGCTTCTTCGAACTGTCCTGGGCGGGCTGGAGGGGGGCGGAGCTCTTCAAAGAATACCCAGAATTCAGCTTGTAGATGGGTGTGGCCTTTTAGCAGCGTCGCCATCTGAGCTTTCAGCTGAAACACATCAAACTGCTGATTTTATTCATACTGGTTAAACTGGTTAGTGTACAGTTATTGATACTGGTTAGTGTACAGTTATTGATACTGGTTAAACTGGTTAGTGTTCAGTTATTGATAATGGTTAGTGTACAGTTATTGATACTGGTTAAACTGGTTAGTGTTCAGTTATTGATACTGGTTAGTGTACAGTTTTAAACTGGTTAATGTACAGTTATTGATACTGGTTAGTGTACAGTTTTAAACTGGTTAGTGTACAGTTATTGATACTGGTTAGTGTACAGTTATTGATACTGGTTAAACTGGTTAGTGTACAGTTATTGATGCTAATTAGTGTACAGTTATTCATACTGGTTAAACTGGTTAGTGCACAGTTACTGATACTGGTTAAACTGGTTAGTGTACAGTTATTGATACTGGTTAGTGTACAGTTATTGATACTGGTTAAACTGGTTAGTGTACAGTTATTGATGCTAATTAGTGTACAGTTATTCATACTGGTAAAACTGGTTAGTGCACAGTTACTGATACTGGTTAAACTGGTTAGTGTACGGTTATTGATACTGGTTAAACTGGTTAGTGCACAGTTACTGATACTGGTTAAACTGGTTAGTGTACAGTTATTGATGCTAATTAGTGTACAGTTATTCATACTGGCTAAACTGGTTAGTGCACAGTTACTGATACTGGTTAAACTGGTTAGTGTACAGTTATTCATACTGGTTAAACTGGTTAGTGCACAGTTACTGATACTGGTTAAACTGGTTAGTGTACGGTTATTGATACTGGTTAAACTGGTTAGTGTACAGTTATTGATACTGGTTAATGTACAGTTATTGATACTGGTTAGTGTACAGTTTTAAACTGGTTAGTGTACAGTTATTGATACTGGTTAATGTACAGTTATTGATACTGGTTAGTGTACAGTTTTAAACTGGTTAGTGTACAGTTATTGATACTAGTTAGTGTACAGTTGTTGATACTGGTTAGTGTACAGTTACTGACACTGGTTAAACTGGTTAGTGTACAGTTATTGATACTGGTTAGTAGACAGTTGTTGATACTAGTTAAACTAGTTAGTGCACAGTTATTGATACTAGTTAAACTGGTTAGTGTACAGTTATTGATACTGGTTAGTGTACAGTTATTGATACTGGTTAATGTACAGTTATTGATACTGGTTAGTGTACAGTTTTAAACTGGTTAGTGTACAGTTATTGGTATTAGTTAGTGTACAGTTGTTGATACTGGTTAGTGTACAGTTATTGACACTGGTTAAACTGGTTAGTGTACAGTTATTGATACTGGTTAGTAGACAGTTGTTGATACTAGTTAAACTAGTTAGTGCACAGTTATTGATACTAGTTAAACTGGTTAGTGTACAGTTATTGATACTAGTTAGTGTACAGTTGTTGATACTGGTTAGTGTACAGTTATTGATACTGGTTAAACTGGTTAGTGTACAGTTATTGATACTGGTTAGTGGACAGTTGTTGATACTAGTTAAACTAGTTAGTGCACAGTTATTGATACTAGTTAAACTGGTTAGTGCACAGTTATTGATACTGGTTTAACTGGTTTGTAAAGCTGGTGTACCTCGTGGATGCTGGTTGGACTCAGGTCTGGACCGGTCTGCAAAGCTTTGATGATCTTCTGATAATGTGACGGATTGTCTCCAAAACTGATCTCTAACTGTCGGAGGAACCGCCGGCTGCGTTCAAACGCCTGCTGCTCCTCAAACTGGAAGTTGGGATAGACAGTGACATCAAAACACAAAAATACTAAAGATTACCATGAAAACACCTGAACTGTGATCAGCCTCATTAGAATCACAGACATAAGTTTCATTCTCAAGAATCCTGCATTTGAGACACCTGAGATACACCTGTGACCCTGCATTGAGACACTTGTCTGCTCACCAGTCCACATTGCAGCGCCTGCTCAGGGTGCAGGAATGCGGCAAAGTCTCGAAGGAGGTCTGTCCGATCTCCAAGGATGCAGCGCAGCTTCCTGAACAACAACATCACTTCCTGTCCATCTCCCGCCCGCTCAAACTCATTTAGCAGAGACACAAAGTCCTCCACCTGTCCAGGTATGTCCTGCAGCGCCTCACGCACCTAGAGAGACACAGCAAAGAGTCACCTACAGATACCTGCTTCAACATGACCTCACCTAGTTATGCTTCAGTGTCTCTGAGGTTGCTGGAAAGTGATGGACGGAGACCTTCAGAAGAAGTCATTTTGAGGTTTATCACTACAATATGAAAATGTTACACGTGGAGTCCAAACCTTTGAACAGGAGTTTCAGGTGTGACAGATCTGGGAAGACTCAGACACATCACTCACAGTAAAGTCATAGTGTTCTGAGTTTCTTACTCTGCTGAGGTAACTCTGGGCGAAAGCCACATCTTTGCTCTCTCTGTGTGGGTCGTTGTTGAGGATGTTCTCGTCATATAGCAGTAACAGTTTTGCAGCGTCTTTACTGTGACGCTCCTGACGACTCCTTCTTAGACCGCGAAGAGGTCGACTCCGACCTGCGTAGAACAAGAGGAGGAACCGTAAAAACACTGTCAGAAGTAAATAACACAGATCTACTAGAGACAGCTCTGACCTCGTCCTCGTCCAGGACACCTCCCTCCTCCTCTGGGCGTCCCTTCTCCTGATGGCAGTTCCTCGTCTCTTCCCTCCTTATTGCTCCTCCCCTCTCCTGACCCGTCCCCTTTAGGCCCCTCCTCTTCCTCCTCCTCCTCTTCCTGAGAGCCAGGAGAGGTCGGCGAGTGATCCTCCTCAGAATCTCCGTCTGCACAGAGCCGCCGCTCCGCCGCCAGCCACGTCAGCTGCTTCATGGTTTCCTGAAAAGGCCAAAAGTCAAACAAGTTAGCTGCTTTACGTGCTGCATACAGTACACATAATATACATTTTATATATAACATATGGGGTGGACAAAATACTGGAAACACCATGAGGACTTCCTGTTTACCTGTAACTCTGGAACAGACAGCACAGACTCCTCTGATGCTGATGACATCACTTCCTCCTCGTCTTCATCTTGTGTGAGGTCATCAAAGTCCTCCTCCTCCTCTTCCTCCCCCTGCCGGTCCTGATCTTCATCTTTATCCTTTTCTCCATCCTCCTCCCTCTCTCCTCCCCCATCATCCCTCTGTCCATCATCTCCCTGTCCCTCCTCCTCCCCCTCTCCTCCCTGTTCCCCCTCTCCTCCCTCACCTCTTTCTTCCTCTCCACCTCCTCCTGCATCTCCGCCTTCTCTCTCCTCATCCTCCTCTCCAGCAGTGTTTTCTCCTCCATTCAAACTGACCACACCAAGAACAGTCCAGTTCTCCTCCTCCTCCTCTTCTTCTTTCTCATCGTCCTCCTCTCCTGCACAGGACGACAGAGGACTTAGTGTTGATGGTGAAGCTGAACTCTCCTTCTCTTCCTGTGTCTCTTCCTTCACCTGATGTCTGTCCTTTTCCAGTGGGGGGTGCAGCCTTTTGGACATCTTCTCCATCTCTTCCTGCTCTTCTGTGATTGGACTGTGGATCTGTTGCCCAAGAGCATGCTGGTAGGTGACAGTGGGTGGAGCCGGTGGAGTCCACATCATCTGGAGGAGGAAGTACCCCGGCTTCACAGTGCCACCTGAGAAAGGCATTATGGGATTTGTAGAGTCAGCGTTGGTCAGGGTGGGCAGGGGGAGGAGAAGGGGGACGGCGCTGCTGTCTTGTTGCCTAGAAACGCTCTGCTGCGTCCTCTGGCCAATAGGAAGGCAGGGCTGAATTATGTCAGCACAGACATGGTGGGTGGGGTGTGAATGAAGAGCAGCCAATGGGACGGCCCCACAGACGGGGGGGTCAGACAGTAACTTGACACTTGGAGGGGGGAGGGACAGGTAGCTGATTGGCTGCATGTCTACCTGTCTCTTTACCTGTCTTTCTGTCTGTCTCTTGACCTGTCTCGCTGACTGCCTGTCTAACATTGATTCCACCTGTCTGTCTGCCGGGGCTTTGGCAAGTGGCAGCAATGATGCATTGTGGGCCAAGGTGATGAGGCGTCGGTGGGTGGGTGGGCGGGGGCGGGACTTGTTAAGCCAGTAGGGGTGGAGCCTAAGGGTGCAGCCTGGTGGGAGGGAGGGGGGGTAACATGTGGAGTTCAGTCGGGTCTTCTGGATGACCAGCTGACTGTTCTGTAGGTGAGAACCATCAACACACGTCACTGACTTCAGGTCTGTAAACTGACACTGTGACGTCACTCTGAATTTAACAATGGATAGTGATCTAACTGACTTCATTAATAAGAATCAAATAAAACAAAGCCGGGGTCAGGATGGATATTTTAATAAAGTTATCTCAGGTATGTTTCTGCGGTCTATTTATTTATTATATTTCCCGTGTGACTCAGTGTGTGTGTGAGTCAGTGTGTGTGACTCAGTGTGTGTGTGTGTGTGTCAGTGTGTGTGAATCAGTGTGTGTGTGTCAGTGTGTGTGTATCAGTGTGTGTGAGCAGAGAGTGAACAGGTTGTAGTGTAGCTTTGTTCCTCTGCTGCCTGTGGACTGATTTCTATGTGTCTCTATGTAGGGATGAGGGTCAAAGGGCCTTTATGCTCCCGAGTGCCTTCTCTCTCCGCTTCCCTACAGTGCCAACAGTGTGCAACACTAGCTAACGTTAGCTTATAAATGGAGTCCGCTAATGTGGTTGTTGGCTGGTGTCCACAACAGATGGTGCAATCCTGACCATATTCACGTGAAGGAAAGTGTCTATAACCGGTAACCCAGACACTGAACTTTTGGCCTCCGGACTTCGGCCATACTATTTGCCACATGAGTTCTCACGTTGTTGTTGCGGTTGTATTTATCCTATGCTCTGCCGACATGAAGGCAGCGCTTGACACTGTACGTACTGTTATAGCTGTTATGTGCTACTTTTCCCACTGCGCATGAGCGAATGGTTTGCATGTTCTGAGTGACGAAGGTGGGGAGGCAGTCTTTGTTGTTGTCATGCGGGAGTTGAAGTAAAGTCATGAAAACGTACAGTTGTCGTCGGAGTTATTGAACTAACGTTGGTAACAGAGGATGGCAGCTGGTAATTATAAAGTTCCGCCAGCATTTGATGAGAAAAAATCTTACGAAAGTTGGAAAAATTAAGTTGAAATCCTGAGACTTGTTACTGACCTGGATAAAAAGAAGCAAGCCTTGGCGGTTGCCTTGTCGCTAACGGGAAGAGCGAGGGACAGTGCGCTGGAAATAGCCGCAGGGGATTTGAACAAAGATGATGGAATGATGACCGCCAATACGAGGCGTACACGGAGTTTGACTGGATAACGAAAGACAATGGCGTTTCGATTGGTGGATTACATTGTCGAGTTTGAACGGAGGTAAAACAGAATTTGCAAGTTCAAAATGGAGCTACCGGATGCGGTATTAGCATTCAAGCTGCTAGACACTGCGGGACTTCATATTAAAGACAAACAGTTGGCACTTACCGCTTGTCCAAGCCTCACGTTTGACAACATGAAGGCTGCCTTGAAGAGGATATTTGGCGATACTACGCCACAGGGTGGCGCTGGTGCACTGCAGGTGAGCGGAGATGCAACTGACGCTGCCTACTACACAAAGTTTACCGGAAGGAGAGAAATCTGCAACATGAAGCAGCTGTTCAAGGTACCAATCCGCTTGACAGATATGGTAGGAGAACGAGATGTGCAGCCTGCCAAAGCTTATATCACTGGGCGAAGGACTGCCCCCACAAAAATTAACATGCCAAACTAACAGAAGATGAAATACAAAGAATGCAACATTACTTTATTGTCTAAAGACACATTGTCTGACACAGAGATTTTCATGGTGGAGTCTCTGGGATCTGCTGTGATTGATACAGCTTGCACCAGAACAGTGTGTGGTGAAAAATGGCTTGATCATTATGTCGGTCAACTAACACAGGATGAGTTACTGAAAATGAAGGACATGAAAAGTGCAAGACCATTCAAGTTTGGTGATGGGAGAATTGTCCACTCCACAAAGAAAATGAAAATCCCAGCTGTGATAGCACAAACTAAATGTCAAATTGAGACAGAAGTTGTCCCAGCCGATATCCCTTTGCTTTTAAGCAAACTTCACTGAAAAGAGCAGGTACAGTTTTGGACATTGAGAATGACAAAGCCATAATGTTCAAGCAACCTGTGAAACTTGAACTGACATCATCAGGACATTATTGTGTGAACTTGAGGGAAAACAATACACCAGATGGAAGTGACATCCAAAATGAAAACGAGATCCTCCATGTGACAGAAAACATGACAAAACAAGAAAAACAACTGCAGCTTATAATCCATGGAGTAATGGTCTCTTAGAAAGGCATAATCAAACCCTCACTGAAATCCTGTTGAAAGTAAAGAGACAACGGATGTGATTGGAAGACAGCCCTAGACTGGGCCCTGATGGCATAAACTCTATGCACAATGTGCATGGCTACAGTCCCTACCAGCTAGTGTTCGGGCAGAACCCAAATCTGCCGTCAGTTCTCACTGATAAGCCGCCAGCTCTAGAAGGGACTAGCGTGTCTACTTGGATAGCCCAGCACATTTCAGCATTACATGCCACAAGGAGAGCATTCACAGAAGCGGAATGCTCTGAGCGGATCCGAAGAGCCCTTCGTAAACAACTGCGACCCACTGATGACCGATATGAAACGGGGGATAAGGTTTACTACAAACAGGTGGATTCTACAGAGTGGAAAGGTCCAGGTGATCCAATCCAGACTTCGAAAGGTTGATGGCTGTGTGTTGAGAGAAAGAGATGATCAGTTGATGAGAACTGAAAATGTCACATTACCAGAAACAGGACTCTATGAAAATGACACTGTAAATGAAAGTGAGGAAGAGGCACCCTCAAATGATGAAGGTGCTGAGGATAACAATGAGCCCCCTCACACATCAGCACACTCAAATACTACTTGTGAAGGACTTAAGCTGAAAACAAGTAGTTACATACACAGACAGTGGAAGTGGCCAAGCACACACTGGAAAAAAACCTCAGCCGAGCAGGAAAGTCCACTGGAACATACAAAAACTGGTACAATTTACAGTACACAGAGCCTGAGGAAATTGCTGGCACAACTGGATCAGTGGATTGAGGACAAGTGGACAATCTTCAGCTGGGTCCAACTGAGCATGTTGAGTTATGTGCAGACTGCCATGAAGAGGATGTACTGATTGTGAATGATGATGCCTTCATGTCTGCCAAAACAACTGAACTCAACAACTGGAATCTGGAAATGTGTTTGAAGAGGTGAAAGATGAAGGTCAGAAATGCATCTCTAAGAGGTGGGTGTGCACACTCAAGGAAACACCACAGGGGGTTGTACCTAAAGCCAGATTAGTTGCAAGAGGCTTTGAGGAAATTAACACTGAAGAGCTCCCAAAAGACTCACCTACGTGTGCCTCAGAGTCTCTAAAAATGATCATGGCTGTCAAAAGAAATGGCAGCTGAACTCCATGAACATTAAAGCAGCCTTTTTGCAAGGTAAAGAGTTAACCCGAAATGTCTACATTCAGCCTCCCCAAGAAGCTCAGAGCAAAGGAACTGTGTAGAAGTTGAAGAAGTGTGTTTATGGCCTGGCAGACGCTTCTCTGTACTGGTACAACAGGGTGAAGGACATTATGCAGCAGTCAGGAGGTACTGTGTCGAAAGTGGACCCTGCAGTGTTCTACTGGTTGGATGACTCTTGCAATGTGATGGGAGTCCTTGCTTGTCATGTGGACGACTTTATCTGGGGGGGGGGTTCAGAAACGTTCTCCATGACAGTCATCCCTCACTTGAAAGCTGCTTTTCAAATTGGATGTGAAGAACACAACAGCTTCAACTACATTGGAATGGAGGTTCTCTCTGTGGAGGATGAAATACAGGTGCAACAATGGATGTACATAAAAAAACTCCAGCCCATTCCTGTGGACCCCACCAGAGCCACACAGCAAGAGACCCCCTTAACAGACACTGAATATGATATGCGATTGGCCAGATATTGTGGGTGGCGAGGCAAAGCAGACCTAACATAATGTGTGACATATCCATCCTAGCGTTCCAGTACAAAGTATGCCACTGTTCAGACTCTGCCAAATAAACTGATCAGAAAACTGAAGTCAGAGGAGGTGACTTTGAGGTTTCAGTACTTGGGAAACGACAACTCCCTAAAGCTGGTGGTGTTCAGTGATTCATCCATGGGAAATCTTTCAGATGGAGACACTCAAGGGGGACATCTAATCATGCTTATGGGAGAGGTTGGAAGATTCTCGCCTGTATGCTGGCAATCAAAGAGGATCAGGAGAGTTGTTCGAAGCACTTTAGCTGGAGAGACTTTGGCACTTGGAGATGGCATCGACAGTGCAGTCTTCTTAGCTACACTCTATTCAGAGCTCACCACAGGTGACTGTACACGCAACAATTTGCCTATTGTGTGTGTAACAGACAACCACTCTCTTTTTGATGCCATCAAATCCACCCAATCAGTCACAGAGAAAAGACTCAGACTCGAGATCAGTAGTATCAAGGAACTCATCAGCTCTGGGACTATTCAGCAGATCATGTGGTCAGCAACTAAGGAGCAACTCGCTGACTGCTTGACCAAGAAGGGGACGTCTGCACTCATTTTGCTGAGGGCTCTCAGCGAAGGTGTATGGCCGCTTAAAAGCTAAATGGACTAAACAACAAAGACTTTTTCTCTACTGTTCTACTCTAGTTATTAAAGTTTAAACTTTAAACCTGGTTATATGTTAAGGCCATTTAAAAAGGAAAAAGGAATATTTTCATTGCACTGTTTTTCTTTAAAGAGAAAAGGGGAGTTTGTTATGTGCTACTTTTCCCACTGCGCATGAGCGAATGGTTTGTATGTTCTGAGTGAGGAAGGTGGGGAGGCAGTCTTTGCTGTTGTCGTGCAGGAGTTGAAGTAAAGTCATGAAAACGTACAGTTGTCGTCGGAGTTATTGAACTAACAATAGCCAGACTACAGACCTAGCACCCCAGCTCATTCATTGCAATCTCTGGTGATTTTAATGATGTCAACCTGACAAAAACACTGGCAACATTCTCCCAGTTTGTGAAGGGCCCCACCGGGGAGATCAAACTCTGGACTCTGGACCAACGCCTACATCGCCTTCATATCTTAAAGAGCTCATAGTACCCTATTACCCCTCTAGAACACTGCGTTCTCTGAATGCTGGGCTACTTGTGGTTCCTATAGCCTCTAAAAGTAGAACAGGAGCCAGAGCCTTCAGTTACCAAGCTCCTCTCCTGTGGAACCAGCTTCCAGTTGTGGTTCAGGAGGCAGACACCCTTACCACATTCAAGAGTAGGCTTAAGACATTCCTCTTTGATAAATCTTATAGTTAGATCAGGTGAGTCCTGACAGGCAGTTTTTCCTTGCCCTTGTCGCCAAGGTCTTGCTCATGGTGGAACTGTTGGGTCTCTGTAATTAATGTTTTAAAGAGTTCGGTCTAGACCTGCTCTATTTGAAAAGTGTCCTGAGATAACTTCTGTTATGAATTGGCGCTATACAAATAAAATTGAATTGAAAACATTTAATTGAATCAGTACAGAACATTTTACACAACATACAGTTGTCACTACTTGCAGATAAGCTGCAACCTGACATGTGAACTGCTGTTACGCCTTAATTTCCCCTCAGGGATAAATAACCAACCAACCAGGTGGCACTGTTAATAACAGTAACAGTTTAATGGATGTTACATAATAAGCTTTAGTAGTTTATGTTGATAAAACCTAACAAATAAAAGCACTTGAGTTTGCTTCACACTGATCTGGATGTGAATGTGGGCCTGGTTATGTCTGTCAGACCTTGAGCCAGTTTGGCATGTTGGATGTGTTTCTGTCCACTGGGGGCTGATGCTCCCCCGACTGAACTCTGCTGCAGGCGAGCGGCAGCGAGGGGAGAACTCGCTGCATCAGGAACGTCTGAAAGCACAAGAACATAAAGTTTAACTTCACCTTTCCACCAGCGCTGATGATGTCAGACAGTGTGTGATGATGTCACAGTAAGGTCACCTTGATGACATTGTTGTGTGGCGCTCTCGGTCCGCTCATCTCTCTGATGTGTTTCCTAAAGTTCCATCGACTCTTACAGAGCAGGTAGGAGCTGATCAGCTGATCTGACTGGACCGCCCCCTCAAAGTGCTTCAGACCCAGGATGATCAAACTGCACAGAGGCATCATGGGAAATATTACTGTCAGATTGAGCCATGGATCCGGGACTCAAATGTCAATGAACTGAATACATTTGTAGTTCTGCCAGGCTTCCCAAGCCTTTTTAAACATCAAATTCAATTACTTTTCAAGGACTTTCCAGGTCCTATTCACTCAAATATAAGAACCCAAATGGCAGTTTGAGACATGGATCAGAGTTAATTATGATTACACAGAATATTTATAAGAGCCAGAAGCTGTTCTTCAATTTATATTCCTTTACTCAAAAACAACTTTCTCAATGACCCATGTCTACTTTTGTCTATTTCTAAAAATTATTCAAGGCCTTGATTTCCCTCAAACTCACAAAGATTCACTGACAAGGGTGTCAAGGACCTGTGGGAACCATGCACTGCACATGCTCAGAAGCGCTGAGACGTCATGCACTTTAACCATTTGCAACCCTAATGCAGTCTGCCTGTGAAGACTGTTAGAATCTGTTTAGAAGGAGTTCAGTCTAGACCTGCTCTATTTGAAAAAGTGTTCATAACAAAAGATAACTTTTGTTATGAATTGGTGCTATACAAATAAAACTGAATTGAATTGAATAGAAAACACTGTGAAAATCTGCCAGACAAGGCTTCTTACTTAGCTTCTTTTACTTACTTTACTTTTTAAAGCTTTTTTTTCACAGACATTTGATTACTGAATGTTTTATTTCCTGATTTTTGCCAGTTTTAGAACGGCGCCTTTTGTTTCAGCCACATGAACCGCAGACTGTGATACTGTTTTCATTATCAGCTGCTGCTGTTTCCACATTGTTGTTGTGCAATGTTCTACCTGAATTCTTCAGTCCCATACACACTTCTCTGGGCTGTTTTGACTACAAAGCCAAGACACATGTTCAGTCACAATGTCCCACTCTGGAGAGCACTGTAGTGTGTATTATGTCTGTATGTTAGGGAGAATACTCAACGAGGTGTCGGGAGCCTGCTTCTGTGAACTCCATTAATCCCTGATTATCCCACTCTGTTTTCCTTGGTAACACCATAATGTTCTACTCTAGTTAATAGGCATTTATAATATGTATCATTGTTTACCCGTCCTCTCCTGCAGTGTAAACACTCCGGTGATGTGGAGTGTGGTCCAGGTTGCAGACAGGAAGTAGTTCTGGGTAAAGGAAGATGGGACGAGTGGCAAACAGCCAGGCAATGTCGGCGGGCAGCTGAGGAAAGGCATGGCCTAAACAGAACCAGAACCAGAACTAGAACCACAACCACAACTACAACCACCAGTAGAGAGAAACTTAATAGTTTATTTCCCTCCTTACTGTTAGTAGCAGGAGTCATCCTGGGGAGCCAGCGTTTGGATGCAGGAGGAGCAGGAAGAGCAGGAGGAGATTCCGCTCTCTGCTCCACCTCCTGCAAGAGATCCAGAGCCCCCTGCAGGTTACACACTCTGAAACTGCTGGGGAGAAAAACCTCCTCCTGCCGGCGGGCAAACTGCTGCAGCTCCTCCTGGAGCAACAAGAGACTGTTTACAGACTGACCAGGTAGCGTTTGTGTTGTTGTTTACAGACTGACCAGGTAGTGTTTTTGTTGTTGTTTACAGACTGGCCTGAGGGGTATTGCACAAAACCAAGATAAGGGATTAAGCCGGGATATGTTGGTTATCCTGGCTGAATTTAGCCTCAAGTCGGTTGCATGAAAGCAGGTTAAACTTATCCCGGCCAAGTTACTATGGTGATTTATTCTCTGCAGCTAGCCTGCACCAGACCAGGCTAACAGCCAGGCTAAGATTAATCCTAGTGATTCTCCTGTATTTCCACCGTCAATCCTGTGAGGAATTAATGTGTTTTACAGCATGTCCATGGTCTTTCTAAGTATGTTGCATCATTTTAATTATCCTGCATTAAAATATTACATACATAGTCATTTCTCATTTATTTAAATCTGTTGGCTGTTTGTAATTGCAACAGTCTTTTTATATTAATTCAAGTGGTAGTATTATTACTCAGGACAAGTGTTATATTGCTATGCTAATGAAGACTGCTTGTCAAACTGCATAAATATGTTTTATTGCAGTAATTGAGATTACAAAACACAGCTGATGAAGTTGCAAAGGTGTTTTCAATGAAATCTGTGACAAGGGCAATATATTATATATATTATGGCATACCGTTTAGGAAATTAATCTTTGAATATATAAAATGAAACTTTGAATATATGGAATGAATCTTTGAATATATAGAATGAAACTTTGAATATATGGAATGAAACTTTGAATATATGGAATGAAACTTTGAATATATAAAATGAATCTTTGAATATATGGAATGAAACTTGACTGGTCATCAAGGCACTGCTGCCATCTTGTCAAAGGGAGAATGAGTCAGTCAGTCAGGAACATTGTGGCAGCAATACTGAGCAATGAGGACATTATTAACTCATTGGCAAGTGCTTGTACGGGCCAGAATCCTTCCCATAGTACCCGTGCCCAATACCGTTCTCCTGACAAAGAAGTTCTTTTTAATGGTGGCAGGCTGACTACAACAGGCCTCAGGCAAAATCCTGACAGAAAAAGCAAAAAAGTTTTCCAGTTCAAGAAAGTATTGTAATATTTCAACTGATGCCATTTTGTAAAACCAGCTAATTCAGAAGGCTATCACTTTGATGAAAAGGATACAACTAGGTTTTGAAGTTCATTCAGTATTCTCACATTTTTATCAGTATATCCAAGCTTCATTCCATATATTCAAAGATTCATTCCATATATTCAAAGATTCATTTCCTAAACGGCATGCCATAATATATATATTAGTGTATATAATAGTGACTATATTATTCACACCTGTTCCCTCTTCATAATGGCTTGCCCTTTTTTGGAGGATGTACTGGATGAGGAAGCCCTAATCCTCAGAGGAGCATTTAGTCATGAAAGAGTTTTGCAAGTGGGAGCTTCCTTTATTCTGTTGGGGATGCAGAGAACCTCAATAAAGGAACCATTTGCCGCACATATCCTGGCTTGGTGGGCCGCCCCCTGTGCCAGTTCTATGGGCATTTTTTTTTTTTACTGCTACAATCATATAGACATTCAACATGTCAGCAGACACCTAATCTATTCACCTCATTTGTTCACTGTTATCTACTTTAAAGTCACTTACCAGCCTGCAAAATCTTCTTGTATTTAATTTTAACTTGCTGCCAGGTCCTTTTATGGCCAGACAAGTTTGTTCTTTATGAAGGATAGAAAGATAAAATAAATAAAAATAGATTAAATGACACACATTATGGATAATTGTTTGCACTTAATCATACTCTACATTTCCTGAGCAACATGAACCTGTACTTGCCACATTTAAAGCAAAGTGTACAACAGTTGATTAGTGGACTTAAAGTAACTCCTTTAGTCCTTTAATTGGAGCCTAATGATGACAGTTCCAGTGGAGCACTGTTTATTAATTGTACAGTTTTGGACTACTTAAGCATTAAGCCGGTCCGCTATTGTCTGCCAGGCGTTCTCTCTTTAATTATGGCATTGGTATTGCCTTTGTTTCTTATATCTTTCACCTCTTCATAGAACTCCATCAGGAGCTGTTGTTCAGCGGCCGTGAGATATGAAGCACGACTCTTATCCATGTTCCCATCGGTGATTCTGTGAGCGATCGCGAGGTCTATTTCAGTATGCCGTGAACACGCACTTATCCCGACTATCTACACCTGGCTTAGCATAGCCGCACCTTTTAATCCTGGCTCAGCAAACGTGCAACCGATTAAGCCAGGATGCGCTGAGCAGGCTAGGGTTAGGGTTAGGGTTAGCCGCGCTTGCTCAATTATCCTGGATTTCTTTATTCTACTTTTGTGCAATACCCCTCAGGTAGCGTTTGTGTTGTTGTTTACAGACTGACCAGGTAGTGTTTTTGTTGTTGTTTACAGACTGACCAGGGGCCCGTTGCACAAAAGTAGGATTAAGACATCCAGGATAAGTGACTGAGCTGAGCTCAATAAATCCAAAACAACAGCGTCCAGGCTTAATTGGTTGCACAAAGACCAAGCCAGGATGAGCAGACACAGATTCATCAAGCCAGGAGAAACCAATCCTGGATAAGTGCGCGCTCACGGCTCCCTCAAATAGACCGCGCCGCCGATCACAGATTCACTGATTCAGCATGGCAAGTAGAGCGGCTTACTTTTCCCCGCCGGAGGCAGAAACCCTCATGGAGGCATACAAGGAGGTAAAAGACATAATGAAAAAGAAAGGCAACACCGCCACAGTGATAAAGCAAAGAGAAAAGGCGTGGCAACGTATTGCTGACCGCCTGAATGCGTAAGTAGTGCACAATTACACACTCACTGCTCCGCTGAAACATCACAATTACATTCCAAATAGTTAATTCACATCTCCAAAAATGCAGTTGTACTCTGATTATGAATCAGTTGAATTTTTAATTGAAATGGATTGCAGATATGAGTGAAACTGCGTAAATGTAACTCCATCAGACTGTATAACTCTTTGATAAATAGATGACATAATAATAATAATAATAATAATAATAATAACAACTTTAATTTATATAGCGCCTTTCAAAGGACCCAAGGTCGCTTGCTCACTGACTTCATTGAATTTCCTTTTGGGATAAACAAAGTTTCTCTTTTCTTATCTTTGCTCTACGTGTGTGTGTGTGTGTGTGTGTGTGTGGTGTGTGAGATTAAACATGACCGGGCCAAAAGGGACATGGCAGCAAGTCAAAATCAAATACAAGAACATTCTGCAGAATGGTAAGGGCCCTGACTAATACTTAACAATGCACAAGCATATGTTGTACCCAGAAGGTGCCTGCTCACACATTGTCTGTACTGTTTTAGCAGTGAAAAAGAAAACCCACAGACAAGGCACAGGTGGTGGGTCACCAAAAGCTGACCTCACCCCAGCAGAGGACATAGCCTTGGAACTAAATAAAGGCCGGCCTGTGTTGGAGGGGATCCCTGGGGGGCCAGAGACAAGCATATGTCCCTCCCAAGATGCCACCCGCTTCATACAAGGTATATTCTTCCATCTCTACATGGGACACAACCACATTCATATTGAATTGAATCCATTTGGACTGTCTGACTTTGGTTTGCCTATTGCCTTGCAGTTTCTGACAGCACTGTCTCACTGTTAGAGCCACCAGCACAAGCATCAGACGATGCTGATCCAGTGAGTACTCCATCAAAGGCAAACTGTAGGCCTGGCATGTCTTGTCTACTAGCTTCAATATGAATCCGATTAAATGTGATAGGGTGAAGGCGCCAGTGCAGCAGCAACAGCAGATGACTGCTCTGACAATGGCCGGCCTAAGGAAGGAGAGGTCCCCCAGAGTGCCACCAGCCATGGACTGGGACAATCCTGCAATCTTCCCTGATGACGACAGTGGTCGGCTGGTGAGGGACCAATATATGTTAAATTATTTTAGTTAATATGCATGCTTTAAATTTAAGTTAAATATGTCCTGCAGTGGTAGAGACGCATGCTGTGAATTTAAGTTAAATATGTCCTGCAGTGGCAGAGGAATTTGTGGGTTTTTTTGTAATTTAATTTAAATTGATTTGGCCTCTTATGATGTTTGTGCTGTATTCTTTGTGTATACAAGCTTGCAGGGAGGCTACTGCATCCATTCATTTGTCTGTTCATTTGATGTGTATGGATTTGTCCTGCATTTATTTCAGTGTTCAGACATACGGGGTGTATTATATACAGACCTGAATGTGTATTTATCCTTGTGTTGTATAATATGCTTTGATTCTGTGCTTTCCATCTTGTAGAGTCACTGTGTGACTTCAGTTTGGAAAGGAGCTGATTACCTGTTTTGCTTTATCCTTATTCAATAAAGGAACATAATGTTACACTTTGATGTGTATTTATATTTATATGGGATGTGTATTTTATACGACGGAGTATTAGGGCAACACTGAGGAAGGAAGAAAAAGTCATAAATTTATGAGACTGGTTCTTTCTGGAAAAGACGCATTTTCTTGCATATTCTTTTTAAAGTCCTGATACTTATGACAATGTGATGCTGATGATGCCAAAAGATTAAGTATCTCCTTGTTTGTGAAACCTATACTGAAGTACAATTCCACAAAATGCTCCACAGCCCTCATTTTAACAACTCTCCTCCTCGAAAACAACGGGTTACAATATTATGACTTTATTCTCGTAAATTTAAGACTTTATTCTCGAAGTCTGTGAATTTTTATTTTTTCTCTGTGGCCCTAATATTCCGTCATTTTATATATAGCCTTACAGTCTATGGGAAACTGTAAATTATCTAATGATAGCAATATCATCTAAAATCATAATTTATCCGAGATGATTGAAATTAATGATCACAAACGTTTAAATAATGACAGTGGGTCTAGTTATATGTGATAACAATGTGTAGTGGGCAGTGGAATAACTATTCCGTTTGTGGTGACTGCTGACTGAGATAAGGGGTGATATTAAATAGATCCTGGAACTTAGTCTGGTCTGGAGCAGGCTAGCGCCACAGAATAAATCTCCATGGTAACTTATACCATAACATATCCTACTGCCCCCTATCCCGCTTTTGTGCAACCGGATCACGGATAAATTGAGCCAGGATAACCAAGATATCCCGGCTTAATCCCTTATCCTACTTTTGTGCAACTGGCCACTGGTAGTGTTTGTGTTGTTGTTTACAGACTGACCAGGTAATGTTTGTGGTGTTGTTGTTTACAGACTGACCAGGTAGTGTTTGTGTTATTGTTTACAGACTGACCAGGTAGTGTTTAGTGATACAGGCTTCTTGGTTCAGAGCCTCAACACGACGAGCCAGCAGGTGGACCTGAGTCAGCAGCTGTACATGCTGAGAGAGACAGAAACCAATAAACATTCTGTTAACTTTGGATCTCGACCTGAGCATAGACATACCAATATATGAAATACATCCTTTCGAACCAGAACCTGAGGTACCAGAATTCCTTCACTTGGGACAGGGACTCAGTGCAACCTGAGGGGCCAGAGAGCACCAGGACCTCACTCTGGGAGGTGCTAACTTTCATCCTGTTGTAAACTCTCCCAGTGCTCACTGGAGCTCCCAGTCTGATGGACCCAACAGAACCAGATTAATTCTGAGGTGACCACTGCGACTGCTTGACCGTGACACAGAAGACTTGTCCTTTCTGTTATATGGCCGTCTTCAATTCACCCCTCAGAATGACAGTGTCTGGTCTACCACTGCCTCCATTGATCCAAACTAATATGGTAAAACATCCAAGTCACTCTGGTGTCCCAGTCTGTGGATACTGCTGGAAACTGTAAATTTTCACATCTATCTATCTATCTATCTATCTATCTATCTATCTGATTTTCCTGTCAAAAAGCACTTCTTGTCCTCCAACTGCAGTTCCTGCCACAGAAATGTAGTGAAACAGTGAAATCATGTGCAAACAAGATATTGGAGAAAAGCATAAAAATTGGGTTGATTGCATCTGGATCTGTGTCCCTACATCGCATCCAGGATCAGAGCTGAGGGGAAGGTGATAGTAACAACATGTTCAGTCTCACGTACCTGCTGTATCTGCTGCTGGAGCTGCAGTTTCTGGGTGTAGTCCAGGTGAAGGGCGGGGGAGACCTGGCTTGGGAGCACCAAGAAGGAAGTGATGGGGTTGGGTTGTGTGCTGGGAGTGTCCTTCAGGTTGATGTTGTCACGGTGATGATTGGTCGTGTCCTGCAGGGCTCTCCTCTGCTGCAGAGCTTCGTACTGTTTTCTGACTGTCCGCCGTCGCTCTGTTAACATGCTGGCTAATGGTGCTTCAAAACTACAGGCAGCAAAAAGGGACAAAAGTGAGAAACGAAGGAAGCTTGAAAACGTTCAATACGAAGTTCTATTGGGTTCCTTGCCCAAAGGCTCCGCCTCGATGAGGTAATCTCAGAACACTAGATCAATGGTTCCCAACCTCTTTCCTTCAAGGAGCCGTTTCTATCAGTGAGTAAACTGACTATATTTCTATTGATCATAATCAATAACAGCAGAGAACAGCTGATCAACTGATAAATGAACACAAACAGTAACACAACAACTGCAGGAAGTTTGATTATTTCCTGTGAATATTGATCAGAGATGAGTTTTCCTGATATATTGATCCATTCTGTCTGTATTCTGTATTTTTATTATTTTAACAATCAGACCTAATATTCTTCTTTCTGACAGATTCACTGTTTATTGATTATTGATCTATCAGCTGTTTGCTTTCTGATGCAGGACAAGGCTGTTGATCAGTGACTGAAGCTCTGTACACTGCGATCACATCTTCATCCTGTTTATATCTTCAATAATAATATACACTTTAAAAACAATCATTTCAGTTAGTTTTATTCACAGAAATCAATGAAATATTGAGATATAGGCCTACTGTGTATATTTTAAAAGTTTTCTTAGACCCCCAAAAATCAAGAAGGTGTAGCTCAGTGGGTAGAGCTGGAGCCCCATGCACTGAGGCTGAGTCCTTGCTGCAGCAGCCCAGGGTTTGAGTCTGACCTGCGGCCCCTTGCTGCGTGTCATCCTCTGTCTCTACCCCCCTTTCCTGTCTATCTTCAGCTGTCTCTATCAATTAAAGGCAATAAAAAGCCCCCCACAAAAATCAAGAAGGTCTCTTAACCCCTTGTGAAGCTTTGGTGACCCCTACTGGGGGCCAGGACCTCCAGGTTGGGAACTGGCACACTAGTGGCATGTTTTCATAGATTTGGGACACACACAAGCTGAGTTTGAACAGGTTTTTTAAAACAGGACATTTTTATTATGACATATCCTAACAGGTAGGGGGCGGAGCCTAAAATGAAGGAAGGATGTCTCCTCTGAGCTGGATTCTTCTTCATGTGTTCTGTGTGAAAAGAAGCAGCAACAGAGGCAATTTCTCTTCCTCCCAACCCAAACAGTCACAGCACTTCTCTGCTGCACAGTCCCAATAGGAGGATCAACATCCCTGTTTCGATACCACTTTCTCATGTCCGATACCTGTACCGTATTTTTTCCAACCGCTCATAAACAACTAAGCTGTTCAGAAGATGGATGTAATTTTGTGTAGATTGTGTTTAACCCCGGCCATCCTTTATCAGGATACAGTGAACACACTCTCTGCAGGTTACCGTAAGGCCTGGGGGACGTTGAATTTGGGTCCAGTCTGTGATGGGGCCTCCTCTTCCTGTTCCTCCTCCTGCTCCTCGTCCTGGAGCTGTACAGTGAACAGATGTCAGCGTCACATGAAACGGCCTTGTTGACCAACAGTGCTTGAACTAAGCAACCCAAAGTGACGTCCAGACTCCTTAAAACTAATCAGGAGGAACTTTACTGACAAAGATTTAAAAGGTTTCAACTATGAAAAAGACAAAATTGTTTGTTTACTTTAGACGAAATTTCAGTCAGTGCTGAAAAAAGCTCTGATGAATGCAAAAGTCCCCCAGTTCCCAGTTCCCAGTCCCCCAGTTCCCAGTCCCCCAGTTCTCATGCCGCGTTCATTTTGTCCACCCAACTCGATCTCCGAGTCGGTTTCCTGAGTTACGAACCGGAAGTTGCAAACAGAACGCTCCCAAGGTCATATAAACGACTCCTGAAGTCGTCTGCACTCAGAGGACCCGAGTTCAGTTACCAAGATGGCTACTCCAGGCATCACACGTAGTAAACATGGTGGTTTTCTACTATTTTAAGCACTTTTGTTTTTATTGTAACCAAATGAAGTCGTACACATAGCACTGTATACTGTTACCTATAGGCATGTCGCGACAGTCTTATTAGGTGTTAAATACGCCTCATTAGTTATTTTGTAGCTTGTGCAGCTGAAATTGGCTAGAGACGCTCCATGTTGCTCTAGATGGCATTAACTTGGCCTCTAGCACCACTGTCAGGAATCTTGGAGTTATCTTTGATCAGGATTTGTCATTTAACTCCCACATAAAGCAAACCTCTAGGACTGCCTTCTTTCATTTACGTAATATTACAAAAATTAGACACATCCTATCACAGACAGATGCAGAAAAACTAATCCATGCATTTGTTACTTCAAGGCTGGATTACTGCAACTCTTTATTATCAGGTTGCCCCAATAAGTCCATTAAAATGCTCCAATTAATTCAGAACGCTGCAGCACGAGTACTGACAGGAACTAGAAAAAGAGATCACATCTCTCCTGTACTAGCTTCTCTGCACTGGCTCCCTGTAAAATGTAGAATAGAATTTAAAATCCTCCTCCTCACCTATAAAGCTCTTCATGGTCAGGCCCCTTCATATCTTAAAGAGCTCATAGTACCCTATTACCCCACTAGAACATTACGTTCTATGAATGCTGGGCTACTTGTGGTTCCTATAGTCTCTAAAAGTAGAACAGGAGCCAGAGCCTTCAGTTACCAAGCTCCTCTCCTGTGGAACCAGCTTCCAGTTGTGGTTCGGGAGGCAGACACCCTCACCACATTCAAGAGTAGGCTTAAGACATTCCTCTTTGATAAAGCTTATAGTTAGGGCTGGATCAGGTGAGTCCTGAACCATCCCTTAGTTATGCTGCTATAGGCCTAGACTATCGGGGGATTTCCCATGGTGCATTGAGCTCCTCTCTTCCTCTCTCTTTCTGCACTCATTCATGTTCCATTAATACAGGTTACTAACTTCACTTCTTCCCCGGAGTTCTTGTGCTTTCTCGTCTCGCAGGTTCTTGTCGATCCTGGTGGAGCCTCCTGCCATGGTCCTGCTAGATTGCCATTGCCAATACTGTTGTTGCTGTGCGTCTGTCTGTCTGTCTCTCGCTCTCTCTCTCTGTCTCTCTCTCTCTCTCACCCCAACTGGTTGAGACAGACGACCACCCACCTAGAGCCGAAGGATCTGTCCTAGGTTTCTGCCTTTTAACAGGCAGTTTTTCCTTGCCCTTGTCGCCAAGTGCTTGCTCATGGTGGTACTGTTGGGTCTCTGTAATTAATGTTTTAAAGAGTTTGGTCTAGACCTGCTCTATTTGAAAAGTGTCCTGAGATAACTTCTGTTATGAATTGACGCTATACAAATAAAATTGAACTGAATTGAATGACAACAGTGCCGAGTCTTGAGCAGAAAGCAGAGCAGTAGCCACAATAACGTTAACGGTAATCAAAACGGAATATTCAGATATCAAACTGTGAAATATGATTGTGTAATATGTAATGAACGTGTGAAATCCGCGGTGGGTGCACCGTAAACCAGATAATCACTATAAACGTTACGAAACGTCCAAACTGCCTATTGCAACTAAGCTTGTCGTGTTGTGTGCCAAACAGAACGCAAAAACATGCGGTTATTCGTTTTCCAACACGGATGTGACGTCACTCTCGAGCTGCAAGTCGCGATTACAAGACAAAACGAACGCGGCATCATTCCCCCAGTTCCCAGTCCCCCAGTTCCCAGTCCCCCAGTTCCCAGTCCCCCAGTTCCCCAGTCCTGCAGTTCTCAGTCCCCCAGTCCCCCAGTTCCCAGTCCCCCAGTCCCCCAGTCCCCCAATCCCCCAGTCCCCCAGTTCCCCAGTTCCCCAGTTCCCAGTCCTCAGTCCCAGAGTTCCCAGTTCTCAGTCCCCCAGTTCCCAGTTCCCAATCCGGGTACAGACAGCAGTGGTCAGAGACTTTCTGTGTTACAAGAGAAAATGTCCCTGTTGAAACAACCCTCTGATACTTTGGTCCCAGTGACGAGGAGCAGCTCCTGAACACAGTCTAACATTGGTTTGGTTTCACAAAGACTGATGGTTCAGTCCACCGTTAGAAGGCAGCAGTAACACATCATTTATTTATTTATTAATTAATTTAAATCCACTCACCCTATCAAAGAGCTCGTCCAGCAGCTCGTTCACTTCCTTCTCTGTAAAAAAAAAAAAAAAAAAGAACCAGTGTTGGTTAGAAATCCAAACCCTGTTCACACTGAGGGGACAACAACAACGAGTCTCAACCAGTAACCAGTCCTCAACACCTACTGGTGATCTGGACGGCCCGGTCCGTCCTGTAGTCCTCCAGGTCAGGTTCATCCAGGTCGTCCAGGAAGTTGTACTCTGGATCGTCATCATCATCAGCTTCCTCTGAGAATACACACAGTTCAGTTTGTTCAAATCTGTCTCTGGTTGGCACTCCTGGTCGGGAATATCACTGGAACTCATCTGATAATCAATTTGATTATTTTATTAATTATTATTATTAATCATTTGATGTGAATCTGATCAGACGTGTGTTAATCAAACTGAATCAAACTGGTTCAAACACATGACTCAGTGCCAGTTACTGATGGATAATAAAGTTTCTCTGATGTTTTTTATGTGAAAAGAAGAAGAACAACCACAAACTTCACAACAAAGTGATGAAATGAGACAGACTTTTATTTTGACAGGCTGCTGTCAGCCTGACCTCTGACCTTCGTTGTCGGGGGCCATGAGACCCTGAAGCCACTTCGTCCACTGACGGTCCCCCTTCCGCCGGGCAGCGCTCTGCTCGTACATGTCAGCTGTGATGTCAGGGGCCAGAAGCTCCGCCTCCAGCTGACCCAGAGGAATATTAACCAGACGGACTTTGGAGCGCGTGCGGTATGCCAAACAGCTGGAGCCTTCATCACCACCACCACCACCACCACCATCATCATCATCATCATCATCATCAGCAGCATCAGCAGCAGCAGCAGCAGCATCATCAACAACAGCCTTTCTGTCCAGAGACTGAGGTAGAGAGACAGACATGGTAGAGACAGACAGACAGGGTAGAGACAGACATGGTAGAGACAGACAGACAGGTAGAGACAGACAGACAGGGTAGAGACAGACAGACAGGGTAGAGACAGACAGGGTAGAGACAGACAGACAGACAGGGTAGAGACAGACAGACATGGTAGAGACAGACAGACAGGGTAGAGACAGACAGACAGGGTAGAGACAGACATGGTAGAGACAGACAGACAGGGTAGAGACAGACATGGTAGAGACAGGCAGACATGGTAGAGACAGACAGACATGGTAGAGAAAGACATGGTAGAGAAAGACATGGTAGGTAGGGACAGACATGGCAGAAACAGAAAGACAGGGTAGAGACAGACAGACATGGTAGAGACAGACAGACAGGGTAGAGACAGACAGACAGGTAGAGACAGAAAGACATGGTAGAGACAGACATGGTAGAGACAGACAGACAGGGTAGAGACAGACAGACAGGGTAGAGACAGACAGGGTAGAGACAGACAGACAGACAGGGTAGAGACAGACAGACATGGTAGAGACAGACAGACAGGGTAGAGACAGACAGACAGGGTAGAGACAGACATGGTAGAGACAGACAGACATGGTAGAGACAGGCAGACATGGTAGAGACAGACAGACAGGTAGAGACAGACAGACATGGTAGAGAAAGACATGGTAGAGAAAGACATGGTAGGTAGGGACAGACATGGCAGAAACAGAAAGACAGGGTAGAGACAGACAGACATGGTAGAGACAGACAGACAGGGTAGAGACAGACAGACAGGTAGAGACAGAAAGACATGGTAGAGACAGACATGGTAGAGACAGACAGACAGGGTAGAGACAGACAGACATGGTAGAGAAAGACATGGTAGACACAGACAGACATGGTAGAGACAGACAGACAGGGTAGAGACAGACATGGTAGAGACAGATATGGTAGAGACAGATATGGTAGAGACAGACAGACGTGGTAGAGAAAGACATGGTAGAGAGACAGACACGGTAGAGAGAGACAGACACGGTAGAGACAGACAGACAGGGTAGAGACAGACATGGTAGAGAAAGACATGGTAGAGACAGACAGACATGGTAGAGAAAGACATAGTAGAGACAGACAGACATGGTAGAGAGAGACAGACATGGTAGAGAGAGAGAGAGAGAGAGAGAGAGAGAGAGAGAGAGATTGTTTTACAATCACTTAAAATCAGTTAACCCCCAGACATACCATCACAAAGCCCTAACAGGAGCTGAAACCAGAGAAGAGTCCCCTCAGCCAGCTGGTCCTGAGGCTCTCTGCAGTAACATGTCCCCAACAGCCTCAGGACAGCAACACCAACTCAATCAGACCAAACCAAATTATCAACAAGCAAAAAGAAAAATATATTGAAACGACCAAAACACAAAGTAAATTACAATGTTATCTGACCCTAAAAAGAGAATTCAAACTGGCAAATTACCTAAACACAATAAAATGTCCTAAACTAAGAAAAATGTTGACAATGTACAGACTGAGGAACACAGCCTGGCTATAGAAAAGGGTCGCCACAGACAGGGTTAAACCAGACTGGCTACCAGAAGACGAAAGACTGTGCTCCCAGTGTGACAGAGGACAGGTAGAGACAGAGCTGCACTTTCTAACCTCATGCCCTAAATTCAAAACTTTAAGAGAAAAACAATTCGCAAACATTTCCCAAATATACCCCAAATTCGAATTATTATCAGACACACAGAAACTCCCCTATTTACTGGGAGAAATGCCAAAAAGTCAAATTATTGCAGCAAAATATGTCTCCTCATGCCACGAACTGAGGACGACCAGTGGAAACTCTGTAAATGTATAAAATAATTGATTGTTTTAGTTGTTGTTTCTGTTGTTGTTGTTTTTTAATACACACACACACACACACACACACATTTACAGTTTTATCTATTTAAATGTAATTTGTTATTACGGTTATATTGACAACAGACTACTTGTTTTAACTGTAGCCTGTTACTTTACTACTGTTTTAATTGATTGTAATTAATTACTAATAATATAGCCATTACACATAGAGCACACAGTATAGCACACGACCCTAGTCACCCCCTCAACTCTTTCTTCGAACTGCTGCCATCCCGACGCAGATACAGGACAGTGGCCTGTAAACGTGCTCGCTATGGCAGGAGATTTGTACCTTCTGCCATAGCATCTTTAAACAAAGCATCCCGTCAACAGCCGTGAGTTGGTGTACAAGACAGGGTGTGGTAAATGTGCTAAATGTACTGTATTAAATGTTTACTCTTGTTGTTATGTCGCAGTGTCCATATGTGTTTTTCTCTGTTCTTCGTATCTATGTATGCATGTACAGACTGCGGTGACAAATTTCCTGTGAAGGACAATAAAGTATATAATTGACTGAGATTGATTGATTGTGACTGTGATTGAGTCAATCATAGTTACAGTATTACCAACAGTATAGATTATAATTAATTTATTGTAAATATTGTTTTCCTTTATTGTTATAATTATTATTTTTAATTCCAAACGCTTGCTTTGGCAATATGTACAGTGTTACATCATGCCAATAAAGCCATCTGAATTGAATTGAATTGAATTGAATTGAATTGAGAGAGAGAAGGCTGCATGAAAAATGTTCTCCTGAATTCATCTCAAACATGGACCTAAACAGTGGGACATTTTGCAAAAAAACATCGAATTTTCTTCAAAAGGGACTCTAAAGAAAAGGTAAATACTTTATCAGCAAAACAGAAGAAAGAAAATACCACTGTTGGATATATTTTTTTAAATGAAAACAACCAGCTGACAGTGTATCAACTTCTGTAAGCTACCACCTACCACAGTGTAGAACATTTCTAAGGAGGAACCAGACTAAATAAGATAACAGAAGAGGTGTTTTATGAAGATAAGGAGGAGAAGAAAAGAACAAACCAAAAATCATAACATTCATAACTGTGTTTAAAGGCTAAAAAAGCTAGCAACAGTAAAGAGTTAGCCCACTAGTAAACAAAAAGTGGTCGCCATGGAAACAGCCAAGCAGAGAACAGAGAGCAGGGAGGTTAAATACCCTGCTCTCTGTAAGAGTGCAGCAGCCAGGGAGAAGTTTAAGAAAAAGACACTTCAGGAGAACAAAGAAGTCTTGTTCACGGACTATGCACTACACAAAGAAGGGAGGAAGAAGAACAACCTCATATTCTTCACAGACTCCATATACATCTGGAAGGAAAGTCTATGCAAGAAATATCCTTACATCTCCAGTGAGGGCATCGGCTCAGGAGGCCGATTGAAGATTTGTAAGGAGAAACACATGAACAAGGATGACCACCTGCTCACCATCACCTACTACACAAAGGGAAAGGTGATGGTCCAGGGGGGCGAAGCAAATTTGAAATCCTTTGAAGAAGTTTTCTCCCTGATCAAAGCTGAGGTGGACACCAAGAGGTGCAATGTTCCGTGTGACAGTGAAGATGATGAGAGCCCAACAAAGAACCCCAACACCTTGTCCATCTCTGCCCCTCCCACACCTGCCAGCTCCACCAACCAGCTGAAGGAGAGTATGGCCCTGCTGGAGCTGGACTTTGCTGAATTCAAAGAGCTGACCCAGGCCAGGCTGTCTGCCCCCCTAGACAACATTGTGCAGCAGCTTCAAGAGGAGCTCCAGCAGCTCAAGAGAGACAACCAGACCTCGACATCTGAGCTAAGAGGAAGTGTAGAGGCACTAAAACAGGAGAACAGTGTGCTCCGGGCCCTTCCACCCTCTCTTCTACCAGAAGCTTCAGAGACCATCACAGACCTCCAGAAGGCTCCTTCAGAATAGAACGCTCAACTTTTTTAACCACCTGAAATCCAGCCCCAGAGACACCCTCCACTCCAAAGCCCTCCAAACCCAAGAGCTGAGCCCAGAAAAGAGTCCCCTATGTCAGTTGGTACTGAGGCTAACTGCCCCCTCTCAGACACACTCTGACCAGCCTCACAACAACACTGCTCTACAAACAGTAATCAGAGTAAAGCAAATGATAGCACAATGTAAGGAAAGCTATCTGGACCATTGGGAAGAAACAACTAAAAGCCAAAGTAGATTGGAATGTTATCTTGCCCTTAAAAGAGATTATGAATGAGCAGAATATCTCTCTACTGTCAGAGATAGAAAGCAGAGACAGATCCTAACCAAGTACAGGCTCAGTGACCACAAACTGCCAATCCAAACAGGAAGACACAAAACATCATGGCAACCAAAAGAAAACAGAAAATGTGGTCACTGTTGGACAGGTGAGGTTGACACAGAGATGCACTTTCTCCTACAATGTACAACATTAATTAATACTAGAAACATTTATTTAAGTTCAGCTCTTTGGTTCCAGATTTCAAAGAGCTGAACGACCTCTCCACATTAAAAATACTCCTCAGAGAAGGAGAGCGGGCACACCTTGCTGCCCAGTATGTATTAACATGCCACAACCTGAGGGACAGTGAGTGATCGAGGCACACACACACACACACACACATACACATACACACACACACACACACACACACACACACACACACACACACTGTATATAACTAATATAATGTTCATAATGTATATATCTTTGATTTATTGTATTTTATTTGAATACTTTGCTTTGGCAATATTGTTTTTTAAAAAACTTTCATGCCAATAAAGACCATATTGAATTTGAATTTGACAGACAGAGACAGAGAGACAGACATCAGGGCTCCAGACTAACTTTTTGCATTGGTTGGTTTTTTTAGGTGCACCAGCAAAAAATGTAGGTGCACCCATAAGGTCACCTTTTTATCGCTCTCCATAACTTTCATATAATGTGAATGATTTTTAAACAAGAATAAGGTGTAGAGAAATGCTTGTCTTTATTTGAAGCACATTTATATATAAAAAGAAAAATAAAGTGTTTAAAGTGCTTCACTGAGCTGAATAAAACATTTCCAAATAAAAGAGGACCTGATTACTACTTCCTGCCGTTGAAATGTAGCTGGGAAAGGGGCCAATTTCTCTACACACTTGTCATGGCATATCATGTGTTTTTTAGACATGTAACGTTTTTTTAAAGTTTCGATACGAAACATTGTTGACCCACTCACGAATGCACTATTTCCGGCCATATTCTGACCGCACTCCTGACAGTACACGCAGTGCATTGCGTTATGTCCTTTGTTGTACCTCAGTCAGGGAAATTTTTCAGCCAGTCCTGTCTGAAGGAATATATTTTGACTTTTTTAATTTGGGTCTCAGAGCAAGGCTCTATCTCAGACTCGGTTGTCTCCTCCTCTGGTTCCGAGTCTGATGCTGTCGCCGAAGGACCGGGGCTTGGTATCTCACCAGGGACCGAGGGCTCCATGTCTTGACGGGATGGACTCTCAGTAGTGGGGATGGATGGGATTATAGTAGTAGGGCCGGTTGTAGGCTTGGTTTTCTTAATGAAAAAACTTGCAATATTTCTGCCTCTCTTCATTTTCCTTTGTTTTGTCGCGTTTATTTTATTTTTCCGTTTCAGTTAGTCAGCTACTCTCGCGCTCAGGTCGCGCGCAATTTGTAAACACACACAACTTAGCGCGGTGAACAGGACCACAGCCAATCAGAGGCAAAGACCCGCCTGAGCTCTGTCTCTTATTGGTTTAGAACACGATATGATCCTACCATGAGTGTGTGAGTTCGGTCACAGGAGAACACAGAGAGATGAAAAATTAATGCAAAATAAATTTATGTTTTCACCCGGGCAGCGTCAGGTGCACCAGTGCGACCTAGAAAAATTATTAGTTGCACTCTTAAAAATCTTGGTTGCACTCTGGAGCCCTGGACATGGTAGAGACAGACAGGGTAGAGACAGACATGAAGAGAGAGACAGGTTATAGGTGTGGGGGGGCTACCTGGTTAAAGCTGTAGGCAGTGCTGCAGTCCAGCTCCTCTTCCACAGCGTTCAGTCTCTCCAGGAAGGAAGACTCAGGAGCAGTGAGGAGGTGCTGAGGAGCACAAGTGGAGGCCATCACCTGTTCCTCCTGGTGTCCTGGAGATCCCTAAACAATCAAATCAAATCAAATAAAGTTTATTTGTATAGCCCTTTACAATAGCCGAAAGGTGCCCAAAGTGCTTTACAACAAAGCCATAAAACAATACATAACACATACATAACATACAAATACAATTAAAAGTGCTGTAGTGCTGCAGCGCTGCAGGGTATTAAAAGCCTTCCAGAAATGCATAGAAAGGAGCAGACAGAAAGAGTACACCTAAGAGACAGTACTGCCCTAGTCAGAATTGAATGCTAATCTAAAAAAGTGGGTCTTAAGCTTCGATTTAAAAAGGCTGAGCTCAGTAGTGGTGCGAATGTCAGGGGGCAGTTTGTTCCACAGTCTGGGAGCAGTGACGGCAAAAGAACGATCGCCCCAATGTTTAAGTCTCGACCAAAGGACCTCTAACAGAAGCTGACCCGAAGAGCACGGGGCTCTGCCACAATTGCGAAAAGTTAAAATCTCTGACAAGTAAGAGGGGGCCAAGCCATTAATGGCGTTAAAAACAAACAACAGAAGTTTAAAATCTATTCTAAAACGGACTGGAAGCCAGTGGAGTGACGACAGCACAGGGGTAATGTGTTCGTGTCTGGACGTGCTTGTTAAAAATCGGGCAGCAAGTTGGAGACGAGAAATTGAGGACTGACTGAGGCCAACGTAAAGGGCATTGCAGTAGTCCAGTCTTCAACTGATGAAAGCATGGATTGCCTTCCCGAGATCCTGCTGACTGAGAAAAGACTTCACTTTGGCCAAAAGACGGAGCTGAAAAAAGCTTGTGCTGACAACAGAGCTAATCTGTTTGTCAAATTTGAGCCCACTATCAAATGTTACCCCAAGATTTTTGACATGTGATATAAAAAGGGGGGCGGAGTGCCAGAGTTTGTGGTGAAAACATTCGACATAGATGGTGAACCAAACAAAATGCATTCAGTTTTGCTGTCATTTAAGTGCAAAAAGTTCTGTGACAGCCACTTCTTTATATCTTCTTTCTTTATACTTCTTTAACTTCAATCATTTCTTCATCGAAGCCATCAACCTGTCTATTAGACCCGATCCCAACTAGACTGCTTAAAGAAGTTGTTCCCTTAATTGGCACTTCTTTCTGGATATGATTAATCTCTCTTTATTATCAGGATATGTACCACAGTCCTTTAAAGTAGCTGTAATTAAACCCCTTCTTAAAAAGCCCACTCTTGACCCAGGGGTTTTAGCTAACTATAGACCAATCTCTAACCTCCCTTTCCTCTCTAAGATTCTGGAGAAGGTAGTCGCCAAAGAGTTGTGTGACTTTCTACATAACAATAGTTTATTTGAGGATTTTCAGTCAGGATTTAGAGTTCATCACAGCACAGAGACAGCTCTGGTTAAAGTTAATAATGACCTCCTGATTGCTTCTGACAATGGACTTGTCTCTGTACTTGTATTATTAGATCTTAGTGCTGCATTTGACACCATTGACCATGATATTCTTTTACAGAGACTTGAGCATCAAATTGGCATGAAAGGAACCGCACTAAGCTGGTTTAAGTCATATTTATCAGATCGTTCGCAGTTTGTACATGTTAAAGATGAATCTACAATAAATACTACAGTTAGTCATGGAGTTACACAAGGTTCTGTACTTGGACCAATATTATTTACTTTATATATGCTCCCTTTAGGCAACATTATTAGGAATCACTCCATTAACTTTCACTGTTATGCAGATGATACGCAGTTATATCTATCGATCAAGCCCGATGAAATAATCACTTATCTAAATTACAAACATGTCTTAAGGACATAAAATCCTGGATGAGCTGCAATTTTCTCATGTTAAACTCAGAAAAAAACGAAATTCTTGTTCTTGACCCCAAAAACCTTAGAGATTCACTGTCTAAAGATATAGTTACTCTAGATGGCATTACCTTGGCCTCTAGCACCACTGTAAGGAATCTTGGAGTTATCTTTGATCAGGATTTGTCTTTTAACTCCCACATGAAACAGACCTCTAGGACTGCCTTCTTTTATTTACGTAATATTACAAATATTAGACACATACAGGGCTCCAGAGTGCGACCAATTTGGTCCCGCATGCGACCAAAATTTTTAAGAGTGCGACTAATAATTTTTCTAGGTCGCACTGGTGCACCGGATGCTGCCCGGGTGAAAACATAAATTTATTTTGCAAGCGCATCATCTCTCTGTGTTCTCCTGTGACCGAACTCTCACACTCATGGTAGGATCATATCGTGTTCTAAACCAATAAGAGACAGAGCTCGGGACATGTGTGTGTTAAAAATTGCGCGCGACCTGAGCGCGAGAGTAGCTGACTAACAGAAACAGAAAAATAAAATAAACGTGACAAAACAAGGGAAAATGAAGAGAGGCAGAAATATTGAAAGTTTTTCATTAAGAAAACCAAGCCTACAACCAGCCCTACTACTATAATCCCATCCATCCCCACTACTGAGAGTCCATCCCGTCAAGACACGGAGCCCTCGGTCCCTGCCAAGCCCCGGCCTTTCAGCGAAAGCATCAGACTCGGAACCAGAGGAGGAGATAACAGAGTCTGGGATAGAGCCCGGCTCCGAGACCCAAATTAAAAAGGTCAAAATATATTCCTTCAGACAGGACTGGCTGAAACAATATCCCTGACTGGGGTACAACAAACGACGTAACGCAATGCACTGCGTGTACTGTCAGCAGTGCGGTCAGAATATGGCCGGAAATAGTGCATTCGTGAGCGGGTCAACGACGTTTCATATCGAAACTTTAAAAAAACATAACATGTCTAAAAATACACGATATGCCGCGACAAGTGTGTGTAGAGAAAGTGGCCCCTCTCCCAGCTGCATTTCAGCGGCAGGTAGTAGTAATCATTATTATTATCATTAATAATTATTTTACTTGAAATGTTTGAGTTTGAAATGTTCAATTTCAGTTCAGTGAAGCAATTTAAGCACAGGCACTTTTATTTGGAAATGTTTTATTTTGCTTAGTGTTTTAGTTTGAAATGTTTAATTTCAGCTCAGTGAAGCACTTTAAACACTTTATTTTTCTTTTTATATATAATTGTGCTTCAAATAAAGACAAGCATTTTTATATTCTTGTTTAAAAATCATTCACGTTAGTCTGGAGCCCTGACATACTATCACAGACAGATGCAGAAAAACTAATCCATGCATTTGTTACTTCAAGGCTGGATTACTGCAACTCTTTATTAGCAGGTTGCCCCAATAAGTCCATTAAAACGCTTCAATTAATTCAGAACACTGCAGCACGAGTACTGACAGGAACTAGAAAAAGAGATCACATCTCTCCTGTACTAGCTTCTCTGCACTGGCTCCCTGTAAAATGTAGAATAGAATTTAAAATCCTCCTCCTCACCTATAAAGCTCTTCATGGTCAGGCCCTTTCATATCTTAAAGAGCTCATAGTACCCTATTACCCCTCTAGAACACTACGTTCTCTGAATGCTGGGCTACTTGTGGTTCCTATAGTCTCTAAAAGTAGAACAGGAGACAGAGCCTTCAGTTACCAAGCTCCTCTCCTGTGGAACCAGCTTCCAGTTGTGGTTCGGGAGGCAGACACCCTCACCACATTCAAGAGTAGGCTTAAGACATTCCTCTTTGATAAAGCTTATAGTTAGGGCTGGATCAGGTGAGTCCTGAACCATCCCTTAGTTATGCTGCTATAGGCCTAGACTATCGGGGGATTTCCCATGGTGCACTGAGCTACTCTCTTCCTCTCTCTTTCTGCACTCATTCATGTCCCATTAATGCATGTTACTAACTTCACTTCTTCCCCGGAGTACTTGTGCTTTCTCGTCTTGCAGGTTCTTATCGATCCTGGTGGAGCCTCCTGCCATGGTCCTGCTAGATTGCCATTGCCAATACTGTTGTTGCTGTGCACCTGTCTGTCTGTCTGCCTGTCTCTCTCTCTCTCTCTCTCTCTCACCCCAACTGGTCGAGACAGACGACCACCCACCTAGAGCCGGAGGATCTGTCCTAGGTTTCTGCCTTTTAACAGGCAGTTTTTCCTTGCCCTTGTCTCCAAGGTCTTGCTCATGGTGGTACTGTTGGGTCTCTATAATTAATGTTTTAAAGAGTTCGGTCTAGACCTGCTCTATTTGAAAAGTGTCCTGAGATAACTTCTGTTATGAATTGGCGCTATACAAATAAAACTGAATTGAATTGAATTGAATTGAATATCTGTGATGCAGTCCAGCAGCTTAGTAAGTGCAGTGTTTTCGTTTGGTCTCATGGGCAAATATATCTGCAAATCGTCGGCATAAAAGTGAAAAGACAGGTTGTGTTTTTTTTATAATTGATCCCAGAGGTGGCATATACATTGAAAACAGAATAGGGCCGAGAATAGATCCCTGTCACCCCACAGGGCAGCGATGCATTTGAGGAGCAGTGGTCACCAATCGAGACAGAGAAACTTCCTGTTTGCCAGGTATGACCTAAACCACTGGAGAGCGGTGCCACAGATGCCAACGTGCTGCTCTAGGCGAGATACAAGGACTGCATGGTCGACTGTATCAAAGGCTGCTGTGAGGTCCAGCAGCACCAGCACAGCAGGATTCCCAGCATCCACAGACAAGGCAATATCATTGTGCACCTTTAACAGTGCTGACTCGGTGCTATGTCGGGATCTAAAACCAGACTGAAATTTATCAAGAATAGAATTGATCTCCAAAAATGTCTGTAATTGAATAAAAACAACTTTTTCTAAAACCTTAGAAAGAAAAGGCAAGTGGGAGACAGGTCTAAAATTGGAGAGCACAGAGGGGTCAAGATGCGTTTTTTCAGGAGGGGCCTAACCATAGCGTGTTTGAAGGCAGCTGGAACAGACCCTGAGCTAAGACAAGTGTTTATAAAAACAAGCAGACTTGACCCAACAGAACTCAGAACCTCTTTCAAAAACGTGGCTGGAATAATATCTAAGGGACAGTTTGTGGGTTTCGTGCCACTAACCACTCGGTAAAAGAAGACAGAGAAATGGTCTCAAACCGCTCGAAGACAGCAGTCTTCAACGTAAACATTGAGTCAGAGGTCAGAGGTCACAGTCAGTGGAGGATGTCTGGGGTTAGGGTCTGATGTTGGCCTACCTGTAGGAGCTCTTCAGTCCTCTGGTCTGACAAAAGTTTGGGCTGAGAGCCCTGATGCATTCTGGGAGGTGAAGCTAAGCTGTCTGCATCGCTGAGGAAGGTCTGTGCACACACACACATACACACACAGTTTAATGATTGTCTTCATAATGTGAATAAAAAGGTCAAAGGTCAAACAATCACTAACCTCCTCAGCTGTGTCTTCCTCCTCCTCTTCTTCCTCATCAGGACAATACTCTTCATCTGACGAGTCTTCATCCTCCTCGAGATCAATGTCAACAAACTGAGGA